TCAAGTCTCTCCAACCAGCGAGCTCCGTGGGCAACACGTTGGAAAATGGCAACGCAATTTCGACATTTCGAGTCCGGTCGGAGAGTTTTGAAAGATATATCCAGTAGAGATGGTCCTCTCTTAAGTAGGTGAAGTTGATGAGTATATTTATAAACAGAAATGGATCTGATGCTACCTAGGTGTCTACGAAAAAGCCGATCAAACAATTGCTTCGTACCGAACGAAGTTGACTATGAATATGACAACGGCTGCATGGGATTCCAACACAGCACGAAATGTTCGGCACCGTACGCTAGTGACAGCGAGTGCATCTTAGATAAGGCTGATGAAGCTCTTTAAATAAAAGGGAGGCTTGGTATGCTTTTCCTCCTAAGAGATTGCGTAAGGGACCCGCGAAAGGCTAACGGGTTGAATATCTTGGAGAAAGTGGCTCAAGAGGGCTGTATATATGATTTGACGTACGATATTGATCCTATTATAGATCGACACGCTAACATGGACTTAAAAAATCAATTTACCTCGGCGTCAACAACTACATACGCATGCAGACAAGATAAGTGATGACTCAGGTAATGTAGCGAGATGGAACGATAGGTGAGGTGATAACTGTGTGTCTTCTGGTGTAGGTGCTAATGGGGGAAGTAACTATTACTATCTAGCAAACGGTGGTGCGGCACCCCGGATGCTGAGGCCCGGAGAGCCTCAACAATATGGGGACTTGAGATTACGATGGGTTGGCAGTCTGAGCTCATAGCCTCCACATTGCCTCGCTTTATTACGTGGACATAGTTCTGTCTAGCTATGATCTGGTCTGTTGTGATAATATGGGGAGGCGAAACAAAGGATTGGAGAGGTGCCATGGCATTTGGACAACTTCTAGCGGCATGTTTATCAATAATTGCACTTCACGCAAATAAATGAGATCGTCAATTTTCAATCGAACAACTTTTTCAATTCATTACCCAAAATATAACCAATTATAGACTTTCTATAACATGCCTAAACGGGCAAGATTTAGTTCTTTCTCAGTGGCCTGGATGACTGTCACTTAGCTAGGACAGTAAGCTTAAACTCGTTTTCGATTTGCGTCGCTATTGTAACGGGCTCATGCCCGAAGGGATGTCACGTGATGAAACGTAACCTTAACTGGGGTAAACAAGACGAACGACACACAGATAGCTTCCTTCCCTCGCGATTGTTGTAAACAGCATGCAGGCCTAGTAACAATTGAGCGGTTGTCGCTACAGCCTTTCACAGCTATTACTTCTTTCGCCTCGGCTAGCTTAAGAGGTCTCTTATACAAGGAACTGTAAGAGGCGTATTGCGTCATTCTTTAGCTCTGTCGGTATGCTATCAAGTATACGCCTGTATGTCCCATTGAGACTCAGCGGTAATGATGTGGCAGAAATGCATATACTTCGTACTAACAGAAAGTGAAGAAAGACCCGTCGCAAAGAGCGTTCGCGGAGTGGGGTTGAAATGGTAACATATCTTCCAAGCTACGACAAGGTCTTGGACCAATAATACCTTCAGATTGGAGACTGTGGACTGTAGTCGCTTGCATACGATAGCTGGCTGGACGAAATGATTAGGAGCCGTCAACGCTAAGTGCTTTTATTTCACGACCACGATAGGCCGCTAGTTGTCATTTCATAATGGGATTGCAGCTTGCATGTAAGTCTGGTCTATTCCATAATAGGGGCAAAAAGCTATTTAACAAAGGCTACTGCTTTGGTAAGCAGGCTAATTACTAACATTGCCAAGTAATGGGCAATGTATCCGACTAGTAACAGTGACTTTGTCGCGACATGTTAGGACCAGGTGCTTGTCCTAGAAAAGGAGCCTTGGGACGAAAACCAGCCAGACTGGCAAGAAGAATCATCTTCACGACCTTCACTGTCTACCAGCTCCTTGGCATTCCTGGATTGCACTTTATCACATGAAGTAAATGCACGGACCTCTGCTTACGGTGGAGAAGGTTTTTCAGATGTCCAATCTCTTCCTACCATACATACACTGATTTTGCGCAATCTTCCTACAAACGAACAACCGTTGAATGTTCTGTGAAAGTGTCACCACGGTCATCTTTTTTGCCCGCGTTGAGTATTAGCTGAACTCCCCGGACTTGTCTTCTGTTATAATTTGGCAACAGTGCTACACTCAAGTAATTCGTGCATTGAATTATTAGTGCATTGAGTGATTCGTGCATTGATCGATGGTCGCTTAATCAAGGCACAGGAGATATGATGAAGATGCACGTCGAACACGAAAGGCATTAAATGCGCACTCTATAGATACATATTCAGTGGGGTGTGATGGGCTGAGGGCGGTTAGTGCTTCAGATACGATTGATTATTTTAGCTTTTGCCCATCCTACTTGATCTCCAAGTAGTCAACTACAACTCCCTAAATATGCTAATTACCACAGAGAGTACTCTCGAGACCTGTTAGATTTTTTGCTTTGTTTTCCTCTTTTATGCATATAGAATTGAGTCTCATATCTTAGTCCTTGTCTTGTTTTCCTGAAGGAACCCGTAGCATTTCTGTTGACTTATGCAATTACGACTTTTATATGAAAAGTACAGTATGAGTGAGGACAGTCTAGAAAGCTTAATCAAATTTCTGCGAGTCACTGCTCGGCTCTCCCTCGATCGCAATCATAAACCAGAAGCCAAGGTGGCGGTATAATCTAAATGTGGTGATCACCTGCGGAATGTTTGGTTACATCACTTAGAGGTGACGGCTAGTCCTTTATTGACCCTATCCAAATCTTAGACAGTTATACAAGTTGGTTTGGGGTAGTAGGCGTACATAAAAAAATTAGCTGCCGCTCTTCTGTGGATAGCGGAGCTCGTGGCATACCAATTGAGGCAAGGAAAGCCCAAAATCCCGAATCATCTACTTTCAAAATATGTATCTGACCTATCTCTCACAAACAAATGCCTACGCATACACCTGCGTCGCACATCTTGCTGTATTCGGGCGCCTTTTTCATCAGAGTTGTTTTGCGACGGCATTTGTTGTCTCTTCGATCTCCTGGGGCTCATAGAGGAGACGGGCTTAACAGCGGCCATTGCGAACTGGAGCCTTGCTCTTTGGGTGGCTAGGGGTCAGAATTCATATTGATTAAACTGAGATCGGTATTGTTCTTATAAATATTGATATCTCAATTATAAAATGCTTGAAAAAATGGTATTGCTGAAAATATTAGGTGGAAAATTGGCATTTGTACATGGTCTGTTTATCATTGAAAGAAAGACGATAGTGATCATTTGCAGGCAAAGGTGAAACTTACAGCAGATTTGCAAATCCTGCTCAAATGCGCTATAAGATTAGGTCGGGAATCAACGTAAAGATTATATATTTGCGGGTTGTAAAATTTAAACGTTGACTCTCAATACAAGAGGCTGTTAATTGCCGATATTAGATAAGGTAAGCACTATTATGACTCCTTCACCTAGCTAGAGATACGTGTTTCCCAATAGCTCCTTACTCTAGGAGCAGCTAATTACCCCTGAAAGCAAGCACGTTCATATTATTACCTGCTGTGTTCAGAAACGAGATGTTATATAAATTGTTGAGGTACGTGCAAAGCCACCTCAATAAAGAGACCGCGATGAATCTGCGACCGCTATAAGTCAATCCTTTTTTGCACCCGTTCAAGACCTGTCCTGAATGTTCAAACACAGGCCTGAAATCTACAAAAGAAAATATTGCTACGGGTCTTAGCGAACTGGTGTTGAATAATATATTATTTTCGTACTCATTTTTAGCCAGATTACACGCCTATCTCTTCTTGAGTTGATGGCCTGTCGTTCCAACGTGGAGGCGGTAGATTATGTAGTTTCTTCGGAATAAAGTTCACCTGGTCTCGACAGGGACTTGCCAACACCGGTGAAAGTAAACACCTCATTAAATCTCATACTTCGCCGCAGCACTTTTCTGTGTATTTTTTCTTTTGCTACATACTAACTAATTACTGCTGTATATACTGATGCTCTGATCGATGTGGTGGATCTGCATACTATCACCTGTAAAATGGACCTATTATTTCTCCGGCTTAGCTTTACCCTATCACCAAGTTGAAGCGATGTTCATTCTTCTGAATACAATGAGTATGGAAAATGTGGTGAATCAAACTGATTCCTTAGAAACGTGTGCCTGGTGAAAGACGAGTTCAACGTGCTCGAGGGGTGGAGATCGTCTCCACGAGCCTTCCTCACGTGCGCTTCCTATCAGTCCGGAGCCACCAGGCTGTAGCCTTGATTTTTTTTCGACCTAGAATGGTGCCTTGGCTTCTATGCAAGACTAATCGGATCCTTGTCCTTGTTGGGCCAAAATAATCGCAACATTCCGCTGTCTCCACTATTTTCGTGGTCTATAATAGGCCACTAACCGTTATTTGGTACTGGTATGGAAATCGCAATAAGTCTGCATTTCTAAAATACTGGATGAAAACTATTTAGTTAACGTGCAATTACCGCTTTGTAAGCAGTTTACCTAATAATGCCAAGCAATTTGGAAGTGTATCCGACTAGTAATGGTATACATTTCGCGACAGTATTGGGGGCCGTTCAAGCCGTCCTGCCTGAATAAATGTGCATTAAAGGGGCGCGGCCCGCGCCTGAAGGGTAAAGCTTCTTACCCCAAATATTTAAATAGGGTGTGTTCGTAGATAAAACTTTCTCTCCGAACTGTTCTTCCCCAAACATCACTTTACGCTATTTAGCGACACCTAGCCATGAGACCATGGCTCTCCGCAGTTCTCGGGGCACTGGCCTTGTCCCGTCAAGCATCATGCTCAGCAGGTGATATTTGCTACATCTCTGGGCCTAGAAGTATGACAGCTTACTCGCTCGAATTCGGTTTTGGAGTTGTTGATGCTTATTCGCTACAGTTAGCCTCATGGACGATCGATTGTATTTCATGGGCGGGAATTACAGCACAGTTTCCTATGATGGACAAGTGATCGAACCTAGTAGGCTCTCCCCATAGGAGCGATGAATCATGATACTAAGAAGGCAGGCTCGACGCTATATTATATAGACCTCGACAGTCAATTCCCCGTTGAAAGCACGATTCCCAAGTCCGCACTTCATACCGATACTATAAACTCCGACATAAGTGTCGCACATCAAATGGCCGAATACCCAGGATCTAACGGCGCAATGTGGAGAACGAATGACAGTATGTACTTTTTTGGCGGTGGATTTGATACCGCCATTGACACAGTTTCATTCTATAATGTTTCGTCTGGCGTATGGAAAGAGGTCGAGGTGAGCGGTGGAAAATTCAACTTCGGGAATCGGTCGACTGCGCAAACTGCCAGTGTTCCAGAATTGGGTCTTGGGTTCATCTTTGGTGGAAGTGGTCCTTACATGGAAGGCATGATACGATTCAATTCATCCGATCCGAACAACCTGACATGGACGAATGAGACTCTCAACCAGGGATCTCATGGCGTCAATGTGCCAAATCTAAACGCTGGAACTCTCCTCTATATTCCAGCCAGTACGGATGGCATGCTCATTAGCTTTGGAGGTGGAAATGTTAGCTATCCCTCTACCGCGCACCAAACCATGCTTCTGAATAACCCTTCGCTCTTATCTTGCTAACTTACGGATCAGGTCACTGAGGGAATGAGCCCTGATTCAGGTTGGCCCTATCCTGCTGATTGGAATACCGTCTATGTATACGACATCGCTTCTCATACATGGTGGATGCAAGAGACGTCTGGTAGCAACCTACGCCTTGACCTAGATTCATTCTGTGCTGTGGCTGCGGTGTCACCCGACCGCAGCGCATTCCATATATCAGTCTACGGTGGATGGAGCTTGACAGATCAGCGCGCGTACGAAGATGTTCGTATTCTTTCGATTCCATCTTTCCAATGGATAAATGCAACCGAACTATCGAACAAGACCAATACAGAACAGCAAGTTAATAAGACTATTGGTCGCACTTCCATCGGCGAATGCCAATTGTTTCATGGTACACAGATGATCGTCCTTGGAGGCGATGTACACGCTGGGGCATATTCACTCACAGACGGAGCATGCAGTAACGCGTTTGAGCCAGTGCGTGTTTTGGATCTCTCGACATATGAGTGGCAAAAAAGCCTCAATACCACTGCTAGCTATGAGGTCCCATCAATCATCTACAACAAGATCGGCGGAGGGTATGTTTTGAAAACAACCACTTATGCATCCCAAATTAATGATTATATAGACCTACTGGAGGAGCCACAGTTACAGTGCCCGCTGCGGGTTTTGCAGATGCTACGCTGGCCTCCTTGATACAGAAACGTGTTCCCGGATTTGAAATAAAAACATCGTCTCAGTCAACTACGTCGCAAACAACCGCGTCTCAAGCATCAGCCGAGAAGTCGCATGGCAATAATCCCGGTGCAATTGCCGGTGGAGTGGTGGGTGGAGTGGCTGGACTAGCGGTGGTTATTGCTTTAGTTTGGTACGCAATGCTTCGGCGTAAGAAGCGGCTCCAACCCGAAGAGAGTCAAAAATCGACGTACTCCGAGCACGCTGCGGGTCCTTCTGAACTATCAGCAGAGGCACGTGCTGAACTGGCCTCGAAATCGGATATGCATGCTGAAATGCCGGGTTCTAACAAACCAGTTGCTGAGCTGGCTTAATCGGGGCCTTCTTCATGAATACTTGAATGCCCAGAAACCTTGAAATTAACTACTAAGATAATCTTAATTATAGTATATTCAAGGATCCTAATAGAACTTGAAGTCAAATAAGGTCCTCCGACTCGGAGTCGCGGTTTTCGTAATGTTTTAGTATTGTTTTAATTAAACCTTTTATCTTGTTGTCGATCTTAACAAGATCGATCAAGAGATAACCACTTTTTTTGTTCCTCATAGTGGAGATCAGAGAGAAGGCGACCGAGTGAGAGATCTATAGCAGCAGCTGTGAAGATGGCCCGGTGAACAAGAGCAAAAACCATTCATTTTATCCCTCATCTGCGTTCTAGCACCTCGTTAAATCTTTCCCTGTCGGAATTTACAAAGGCGACTTTTGTATGTCAATTCCGGCCCTTCAGGTGAAGGGCTGGAGCGGCGCCCCGCTAGGGCGGCGAGCCGGCTAGGACAAACTCGTGGGCGCTAGGTGACTACCGACATACAATATCTGTTGTATGTTTTTTTGTATTTTTACCAATTGCTAGTTTTTCCTGGAATTGGTGTCTTGCCGCTGTACTCTCAGTCCTGCACAGATGACGTGGCCAATCGGCTAAACCTGCCTTGCTTTTTGCCATCACACATTCCCCCTGTCAAGTTGCCTTGCTCCGGTTTACCGCTCACGGTGGACCAGGTACATAATTACTAAAGCCCTGCAAGCGCTAGAGTCGACCTGCTGCCCTGCGGCGTTGTATCCCTCCCAGCTCCACTCATAGATAGACATAGTAGTGTTTCTGGGATTTCATGAATCAAATAAGCTACACTTAAGAGTCTGTGAAGTGATAAGAGTCATGGCGCTTTCAGCACACTCTTGGCATGCGCAGGCGATCGACATTGTGTCCAGCTTTCGTAGTACCCATCTGGAAATATCCGGGGGCATAAGTAACATCTCGTGATTTAGCCTGCCAGCAGCTTCACAGCTGGTGCATGCCCAGTCACGCCCACACCGATAATTGCACTAGGTTTTGCATGTCAAACAACCGTTCTTTTATTTCCAGTCGAATTAAAGAATAGCTTAGCAGTGGCGCTAATGCTTCGTGAAAGTCTCAGATATCTTGATCACTGTCGCTCAGGGATTCCCCGTCGATCGAACATGCTCATCAACGCCAGGAGATCGGTCGCCGCGGGTCACTCCTGGCGGATCCGCTCGAACGATATCTGCCACATTGTGATAACCGCATACCGAATTCTGGGATCGCGCCAGAGATCCGTGGAATCTTCCTTCTGAAGGAACTATGTCCGCTTCGACTCACTTTCATGAAAAATTTGAAGGTAAGCCTAGGCAGTGAGAAAGGGCAAACGGTTGGTACTGTAGGACCCCGCTTGAGTGATCGCCAGGGCAATGTATTCAGGTCCATGGATCAGCGCCCTCTCGCCCTCTGTAGAGTCGCCAAATTGGGGGACCGGAATTCTTCACCGTAAGGGTGATGGACTCTTCGTTATTCATTCGCTGAACCGCGCTCACATGGCTATCGCTCCCAACCAGCCTTGCTGCCAGACCATAGGATAGACCCATGCGCGGCTGGGGATGGGAACCTCACCAGTAGCCCTCGTTAATTGGTTTCATTGCCACTGAAAGACACCGTCTTCATCCGCATCATCTAACACCATCAGTCAGCGCCCATTGCCTGCATAACACAACCACTGGGACACAAGCTGGAGGAGGTTTATCTTCGGATCGGCCCGTCCCGGAATCGTAACTGCAGCAATATTCTCGTTGCCCTGTTGCAACCGCGCCGCATTGCTAGCGTGGATCCAGAAAACCCATGTGTCTGGTGTTGATTCTCGCATGCGATAACAATAACTTACGCCGCGGCTTTGACTTCCATTGGATAGTATCGCTTATTGGTCAACGTCTTTACAAATCTCCTTTCAGTAGGCCACACTCATCGGAAGATTGCATTGCGTTAGAGTGCATACGCAGGTCACATGGTTCACAAGTAGGGTAGTTGGTGTCCGACAGCTGGTGTGGCGAAGTTCACCAGCACTGCCTGCTCGTGCTTGCGCTTACCTTCAGCTTGCTCATCCTCCGCCCCACTCCAGCAAAGAGGAGACAGCATGATCAACACAACCGTCTTCTAACTTTTCGCACCGTACGCCAAATCGTGTTTCCTCGCAGACTAAAGTTCAGTCTGTAGGGATGTATACTAGCTAGAGAAATGAGCCAAAGGCCGCGACCTCCAGTCGACCCCCCTTTGGCGGGCGTGTTGGCCAGCCGTGGGAGACTCCACGCACATCGATATCTCCAAACCAGGGACGGTCACGATCTTGAAGATGCGATCTCAACCATGCGCACAGCGGTCGTCTTGGCCAAACAAACCCATTTAGCCATACTAGGACCAGCGTTGAGCAATTTGGCTGCGCTATTGCTGGAACAATTCAAGTCAACGGGGAGAGATACCAGGTTGAATGAGGCTCTGCAATTGGCAACATGGGCTCGGGATTGTTTGTCAGATTGCGACACAGCCCGTGCCCCTGTTCTAGCTACCCTCGGTAATATTCTGGCTAGTCAGTATGAACGTTCGAGGAAACCTCAGGATCTGGAAGAGGCCATCTTCAGTCTGCAGGTTGCGACTCAGGCTCCGAGTCTCCCAGACGATGGTGCATTTCCAGTCGTTGTGTCGAACAACCTCGCCTGTGTCCTAGGAAAGCGTTATGAAAACACGGGGAGAAGGACAGATCTTAACGATGCCATTAATGTTGCTCTGGAAGCGACTGAGACTGGATTGTCAAAGTACCCGCCCCTGATGGCCAGGGTGGGCTCGAACCTTGCAAGTTTATTGGCGAGGCAGTATGAATCCACGGGGGATTTGGAAAGTCTGGCCAGTGCATTATTTGAGCTCCGCATAGTCACCGAGGTCGCACCGAAATTTCCGGAGCTCAACGCTCGCCTTGGTCAGTTACGTGATTTGGCAAAGGGACAACATGCGCTGAGGGCCCAGCCAACGGCTGAGAGGATAAAGGTGTCGCAGTCAAGAAAATCAAAGTTGTTGACGCTCTTTACTATCCTATCCCTGTCACCTGTGCTCTCTGTCTTTTATGCCGGAGCATTTTTCCCGCTTATTGTGTTCTTGGCCGGCATTGTGTCCAGCTGGACCCTTCAGAAATACAACGACCCAATGACCAGTGGTGATAGGCCCAGTTATCTGTTTCAACTCGTTCCAACTTGGATCCAGACGATATTCTCCTCACCCTATAATCCGTTACGTTTCGCGCCAACGCTTTTTCCTACCCCGTGGATTGATACCCCTTCGGTCCCTACCTTGACAGAGTCGGAAGGGGAACCGTACAATGGGGAAAGATTGCGCAGACAAAAGCCAATCCATATTACGCGCGTTGAGTCTGGATATGACCAAGGATGGAAAACTGGGGCCAGAAATCGATCTCTGCATGCCTTGCAATGTGGAGTCAATCAATTACCTTGCGCTCCGCTGTTCCACCCCAACCTAGATTTTCCAGTATCTTCAAAAACTCAATGCTACGAGGACGGATTCGAGAGCCAGAAGCAAGTCCCCTACGATCATGTTGCGAATTCAATTTCTCGGGATGATTTTGTTGACTCTACAAGCGACAGTGAACGCTTAGTAACTGCACTCGACTCTGGGGAAGAGGAAGGCGTCGATCAGAATGAAAAAACAAAAGAATGTGTACCGAATGTTCCTAAAATTCTAATATCTGCGACTGGGAACGTTGAGAAGACCGTCAGGGTACCTTTTCTAAATATTTCAAGTCTTGGCTAACAGATAACAGGACATCACTTACCCCACTGAGACCACGGAAGCTTGGGAGAAACGAGACAAGATTTCAGATAAATTGCCCGTTTCTGTTGAGTGTTTATCCAAGCAAACAGTGGCAGAGGCTTCAATCTTAGCTAGTGATAGAGAAGTTAACATACCAAATTCCACAAAACAAGGTAAGTAATTCATGAACTCTCCATATGAAAGGTTGAGCTTGTTCATAACCAGAATTTTACATTGCTCAGTCCTAAATGACGCATCAGAACAACAGGATAGCCCACACTCCACTGCACTCAGCCAGCTCAAGGCCAAAAGAGGAGCCCACACAACACCAAACCAGACCCAGTCATCTCACCAAGATGTACAATCCACCAAGGATGCACATAGTACCTCCGGAAAAGATTTCATTGGCCGGAAGGTTCACAGTCGTATGATCCCTACAAATATTGACAAAGACCCCTCCGCGTTTGACCCCATGGCCCATGGCAATACTTCAAACGACATAAACAGAAACGAGGGTAATGCCATGGGGAACATCTACAGTGAGGAAGCACACGTTGTCGGTGAGTCTTATAGCTCCAGTGAAAAATGACGTAAGTACATAGCTAACGTGCTCCTATAGGCCATTTAAGTCGTCACTATGGTGATAGATATGGTGCACATATCTCTAGTTACTGTCTCCGGGTATATTACTGACACTCAGTTGTAGAAACGAAGAATATTTCTGCGGTTCTCCGCGGGTACCAAAAACCCGATGCCGATCAGAATCCGCCTGGCACCACACTTGAAGAATTGCATACGAACTCGGATATGCCGCAAGAGGCTATAGATAAATATATACGCGGTCTGGAAAAGCGACCAGCTGAAGAAAGATCAGAAGATCACCGATCAGTGCCCCCAGGGAAACTGACGAATGCCAACTATGCCACTGCCTATGGGCGTTTCCCCGGGCCAGAAACCAAGCGAGAAAGCAAGCGACCTGTCGGATTCAATGCTATCTCGGACGTTAAAGCAGTAGATGGGTCTCAGACGAGAAAGTCTACGAGAGGACGAGCATATTTCCCTGACTGGGGGGACGACTGGCCCGATGAGACATCGTCAGAACGTGAGGTGGAAGAATCTTACGGACATCGTAATTGGCTGATGGAACCACCACCACCAAGAGATAAGGGGAGTCTATCATCGACAAGGGCGGTAAAGGCAGTAAGAGACGTGGATAGTACTTCCATGCCCCCTTCAGCGCCTGATCTCAATTTTGCCGCTTCCTACGCAAAAGTTCGAGCGCTCTCGTCATACTTCGAGAGTACCCTATTGCCGCTTTGTAACAACTATATTGCCAATGTCCCAGCCAACCACAAGGATCGCAAATTGGAGCATAAGAAATTAAGCGAGACTATGCTGACTCAAGTGCTTCTGCGCGCCGATGGCATTGAAGTGAATGATGAGGCTACTCGTGTTGCGCGCCGCAAACTGGTAAAAGATGCCCAATCGGCGCTAAATAAACTTGATGATGCATTGAGGGACTATGAATAATTTATTTTTTACGATGTGTACTGCGTTCCTTGAAGTTGGCTTGACCAATACACACTGAGCAACTCTTCACGGGATCCGCCGCCAGAGCTTTAGCGCAGATTATCCATTGAGCAGCCAGCTTGGAATTGAGGCCCGCCGAAAAATGCATATTCTTGGTAGATTTTCCATTACACATCAAATTACATCATGAAACTCTGCCTCTTGAATGGAGAATTTTGTTGTTAACCACATGGCTCTTGATAGTAACGAAATATCCTTGTGGAAACACGACAGCTTACCTAGGGTAATGGAAGCCAAACCGTTCTGATTTCAATAGGTACCCATCTAGTCAGGTGCCAATGAATGGTCTACGCTAGTGTATGGGCAGTGTGTATTGGTCTACTTGACTCGAGTAGTAAGTGCTTGTATTCGCGTCAAGGCTGGTATATCATGCACGGGCTCATGGGCGATGCCTTAGATTCTACAAAACCAAGTCAGCCGGGCTGATCGTAGAAAGAACTCATACATACCATCATTGACGATCCCACAATGTTCACTCCATCCCCCTCAGTAGAAATCACGTTCCCCATAATCACCCCATTATTACTACCGACCGATCCAATGCTCACATCTCCCTGATGCACTGTGTAGCGCTACGTCATCAACCACTCCATTAGCAGCCAATTCACGACATGTAGACGAGAAGAGTAAGGAAGAAAATATCAATCATACCTGCTTCAACCGCCCCTGCCCCTCCATTGCAACAGCACTCCCTTGTTCCTTCTGCTGCAACGGAATAACGCTTAACAACTCCTTTGCATACGCGGCAGCAGTAGCAGCGGCATACGCCTGCCAACGTTTACTCTTATGCGAATCCGCATAATCACAAATTCCCCTCACAACCAAGCAAGGAAACTGATCCATCAGGCCCGCAGCCTCCATTTCAAAACATAGCACACCCTTCAGCTGACGCGCAATACTATCCCTCGCCACCGCATCACGCATAACCTGGTTTCCCGACGCAATCAGTCCATAATGCACCCGTGGAGCGGGAGAACGCCGTCGTGAGCGGAGAACAAGATGACTACTCTCGCACGTGGGATGATGATGACATTCATTCAAGCTGCCCTCGACATGCGGATACGAGGAGTCAAAGAGGAAATCATACTGCGGACCGGGAGATATAAAAGCCGGGAGCCGCGCTTGTATTTGAGCTAAATGCACAGGGACAGTCGACTGGTCGAGGAGATGATCGCATTCTAGCGTCGCCAGTGCGGCTAATAGTTCCGCTGGGGGGTTTATTAAGAGATCCTGTGCGATGAAAACGACCGCTCGTCAGGGTTTTGCCGTAGTCGTACTGAATGACGCCGCCGGTTGTGCCGGTGGGTTTACTGACCACTATATCTCCGAGACGGATATCGGTGGTTCTGGGGGGGGGGACGCCGCCGGCGATGCCGACCATTAGGCTGTAGCGGAGATCTGGGAAGGTGAAGGTGAGATGGGTGATGACAATAGCGGCAGAGGTGGTGCCGTAGTTGCCATAGGGGAGGCAGGCGATGGCGATGTTGTGGCCGTGAATGGCGCCGAGGGTGTAGATGTTGTGGTCGCCGGCACTTGCGGGGAGTTGGGGGTGCAGCTTGTCGAGGGCTGCTTTGGCGGCGGCCATCTCCAGAGGGAGGGCGCAGATCCAGCCGATGGTGTAGTCAGAGTAGGTGAAGGTCATGTGGTTGACTTGAATAGAGGTGATGGTAGTGGTAAACGGGCAGGATGTGAGATAATGGGGAGGGGGGAGGCATATGTAGTACTGGTGGGGTCCGAGTAATTAGTTAATTAGTGCTTCGTATTTATGTCTCAATAGTTACAGGGTGGAACTCTCCAGATACTCCCTCGCCAACCGGTCCACCAGGTCTATGTCGGAATCCTCTTGCTCAACAAACACAGGACTCTCATCTTCTACTTCTACAACCCGTGGAACCTGACTATGCACCAGGTCCTCAACAATAGATGTTAGGGGTGCTTGTACATGTACTTCAACATCATAAACGGAGCCACCCGCAGAAACAGAATCCTCCAAGTTGGTTACTTCTGGCACAGCAACAATCTGAGCCTCTTCCTCTTGTAAGACGGTCTCACTCTGGACATTGTCGGGTCCAGCTGTCAATGGCATCTCTTTGTGATAGGAATGATGACGCCGAGGCTGACTTTCCCAGGAATTTACATATCCTGGACAACCCTGATTAGCATATCAACCTGACCCTCAGTCACGAAAGTACTGACCAACAACTTTCGGTTGCGCGCTAGTAACATTGCCCATGGCGAGTCCACTGTTTGTACTCAATCTGAGTTTTGTGTGTCCTTGAGAAATGACACAGACCTGCTCCTTTTCCGCTTCATCCAGGGAATACTCCTGTTTTTCCCATATCTTTTGTTCGGAGTATTCACTCTCTGGCTGGACCCAGAGCTTCTGTGACGGAACGAGAGGAAATGGAATGTGTTCAACAGGTCTGGTGTCTTGGGGATCCGCGGGTCGAGAGTAGCTATTAGGCGAGGTATTTGATTGAGTATGTTCCTCATCAGTCGAAATGGCACTCTGATGTTCTGTTCTAGTATAAGCCTTGTGTTACGTCTCTCGTCCATATCACCTACTGTTGTTACACTCTATATCCATACCTTCGTCACGACTAGGTTGAAATGAACCAGGCCGAGAATGACCTCCAACGGATCGCTGCATGCTGCTATCATTTGGCAATACAGGAGTCTTATCGGTTAATGTTGACACCTTCTACCACTAGGGATAGGAACCTACCACATGAGTTTCTCGCTGTCTGCGGCTGGAGCCCATCTCATTCCGCGAAAGATCCTCCTCAACCTGCGGTATTGCGTTCTGCATGACTGGGTGGAAACACTTCGGGTAGTCGCTTTTCACACAAACATATGGTGTCGTGGCAGCAATCGTCGGTATTCCATGACCCGCACGAGGAGGAGACATTAGGCGGTGGCCACGATACCTGCCCTTATGTACCTTGACATCGCCGTCTCTGCGATGACCGGTAGAAGGCCGGTTTTCAACTAAATGCTCGGACTTCACTGAGTGTATTGATTGACGTCGCCCATTGTATGATAAAGACGAGTATGTGGAGAAATCTGAAGTCTGAATTCCCCGGAGTGACGAAGCAAATGGTACCTTTATTAACGGCACTGCCAATAGCTTGGGGTTGTATTCATTCGACTTGCCAAGCGAGGCGAGATGTTCTCTCATCGACGATATCGACGCAAAATTATCTTTCAAAGAGATCCTCTGTTTTGCAGTCGGTCTCCGACTGATCATCCAATGGCAGATAATCCCACACGGGAAAGCGACCATGGAGAACAAAATTTCCGTCCTGAGTTGATAGGCATACATTGCGACGATGAATATAAAAACAGCCAACAATATCAGGGGGTTCCCCGACTCGATGTTCGCATTCCAGTGTGTTTTAGGCCAGTGCACTGGGGATTTAGGCTCGTGACGGCGGTCGAGGAAACGGTCTAGACGTTTCAGCAAAGTGGTTAAATCTCCATTCTGCGGATCCAGATGCATAGCCTCCTGAGCAGTCTGCAAGGCGCAGCTCAAATCCTCCAGTTGCCTGGTGTGGTGGTATCGCTGGGCGAGGACGTGGCCGGAATTGATCAGACAAGTCACCCGATCGACGGTGTTGTCTGTCAGACACTCGAGAGCCTTGACGAACGTGACAACGGACTCGTCCAAATCTTCTCTCCGACCGGTGAGACAATATTGCGTCCACAGGTATGCGCCAAGGTTGTTGAACAGGATCACGGAAGCGGTATCTGCCCATCGTGTCGCGGTATCGATCGACCTGCGCGTAATGGATATGGCCTCTTGCAAGTCTTGAAAATCGCCCCGACAATCGTATAGACTACCGCGTATGGCTCCCAAAGCGCCCGACACAGCCGCTCGGTCTGAATCTTCTACCCGGAAAAGTGTTTCCGAAGCCTGGAGACCATAAAACAGTGCCTGGTGCAAGTCATCCTCATGGCCGGTGGATCGGTAGCGTCGCCAGAGCCCGTTGGCGAGATTGTTCAGGAGGGTGGTGGTGATGGGATGATCGGCGGAGGAGATCCTGAGGGCAAGTCGTGTTGCCCAAACCGCCTCGTCGAGGTCGGCCTTTCGCTTCGTTTTCTGATGTCGCTCGGCGTGGATGTCACCGAGACAGGCGAATATCATCATCAGGCTGGGCTTGTAACCCGGTCGGAGCGACTCCATTCTCGCGAGTAGCTTTCCCCACGGTGATGAATGTGTGGGAAGAACCGATGGCGCCTCATCTTTGAGAAGTTCTTATGGAAGACTCAGCCCCCAGTAGTACTTTCGCGCGACGCTGCCTGAGATAAGCGCCCTCTACACCCCTCGCATATCGCCCCTCTCCCCGCACATAATACGATGGCCTGCGCGCGAATACTTAGACCATGCAGGGCCACGTTTACCATGCATCTTTCATCCTCACCAGCCTCTCCTTGTGTCTACCTTCCTCAGACTGTAGGAATCATGGCCCGACTGCGGGTGATTGAAGATGACCAGCGTGCGCTGAGTGCCAACCCCTGGGAAGAAGAACTGCGGGAGCGAGAAGCGGAAGACGAAGAAAACGAAAAAGTCGACGAAGAAGTCGACGACTACAGAGAAAAAGAAGAAGAAGAAGAAGAAGAAGAAGGAGAAGAACAAAAACAACAACAAGCGAACCAACCGATCTTACCGCCGAAACGCAACATTCCCGGCACTCCTACCATGCCTAAGACTCAGTCCCAGAAAGGCTTGGAGCCAATATTCGTCAAAGTCGACCACCAGATTGCACTTCTGGACAATCAGATCAGTCATATACGAATCGAACTGTTGCAGACACGACGCCTAGTAACGGCCGTCAAATCTACCGTAAGCAAGGTCAACCAGCCCGAGGTCAGTAAGCGCCTCGAAGAGGATGCCTTCTCGAATTATCTACGTATCGGTGACAAACTCAAACGTTTGGCCAAAGATATTGTCATGATTGTTCCTGATCAGCCCCGCCAGGCGAACGTGGCCGATAAGGTCTATAAAGAACCTGTACACACCGATTTGAGTGAGAAGAGTGCGTCTGGGGCTACTGTTTTGGACTCCAGAGTTTGCGAGCCCTCTATTTCTATACATCGTCGTGATGAGTCCGTCTCGGCTATTGATGTCTCTGCCCTTTACACCGGAAGCCATGATTATCGGAATCCCTACGATGAATGGGCGAGATTACCATTCCCGGACGAACTAAAACCGTCCGGCTCGGTCTCCTGGCCTAGAACCTCTCCCCAGCCCCGAAGCAGCAAGCCAACTAATGGCTCATCTCCAGGCCGTCGCCATTCAACGAAGATCCATAATATCATTCCAAACAGAGAAAGATTCCCTTCACCAAGGCGTTGGAGTGTCTACAACACAAATGAGTTTTATCCACGGCTCCCTCGCCAACGACGGTTTTCTAAAAGGTCGAAATATAGATCTCCACCGACTGGCCGAGGAAGTGAAGAACCAATTGCTCGAAGCATTCACCGCACACATTATGACCCGATATCCGACGGTGGTAGCAGCACATATCCCGGCAGCATTATCTGTAACAGTCTGACTGACTCATCTGACTTCGAGGACTTCCCTTATGGACCATACCGGATTAAGAAAAAGAATGTCACCTCGCGACGAAATTCAGTTGGCTACACGCAGAGGAATAGAGACCTCCGGGCATCGACGACATTGGCATCAAGAAGGACAGGAAAAAGGGAGTCATATAGTGGCCAGAGATTCATTGTCCCAGAACAACGGAGCAGTCCGGTAACAGAGCAAAGGGAGATGCCACCTGATGGGCCGCGAATTGTGGAGAGACTGCCGAATTCTGTGCAAGGACTAGAAATTAGGAATTTTCTTCTGGAAGAACCCCACGACTTACAAGAGCGGATACAAGCTTTACAAAGTGGGCAGACGGGCAAGAATCTAGAAGAGAATGGAAACAGGACTGAGAGCAGCATCAGCAGCATCAAGGGGAATTTCTGGAGCCGATTGAAATCCAAGTTCATACACCAAAATGGACATACGGAGAAGAAGCGACATTGGCGGGATACAGCAAAATAGTAACGTAATATGTTGGCCAAAGAACATACCAGTCTTCAATGTGTCACACTTTGGTACGCAATTGAGGCAGCTCCTTCGTTAAAAGGCAAATTGTCTGCTGGTTACCGCAATTGGAGGACGACAGGGTGACCTGGAGAGAATATGATTGTGTCGAATAGTCGAGCCCACATGCGTAAGGACTTGCTTGCTTCGGATATTGCTAGCAGCTCGGCTTCAGCTGTACTAGTGGTCACTGTCTCCTGTTTATTGACTCTCCGGTCTACTGGTTTACCAAATATCATACAGATGTATCTCGAAGAGCCTCTCCAACCAGAGTTATCTCCAAATGATGCGTCGCCGAGTAACTGAACAGCTTGTGGATTCGAGTTGAAGGGGCCGGTGGCAGATTGCTCTCGTTCTGGTATAGCATAGGTAAATAACCACTTTTTTGATTGCATTAATGTGCTCTGGCGAAGGATCTGATAGTGATTGCGCCAAGTGAGGCGTTGCTTTCGCTGCGCCCGGCCGGGTAATCATCGTTGTATATTGAGGTGGTCCGACTTTCGCAGTGAGTTCATGCTTCTGCTCATCAGCCGCCGTTCCATTGTACGGCTTCATATAAATCTTTCCCTGCCGCAATTCAATAAGGCGACTTTTGTATGTCAATTCCAGCCCTTCACCGGAAGGGCCGAAGGGCGGCCTAGGACAGACTCGTGGGCGCTAGGTGACCACCACCATACAATATCTGTTGTATGTTTTTGCTTTGTATTTTTTGATTTTGTTTGTCTGTATCGTGAATTGTTTTGAATTCTTTTTGCTAATATACTTATTGATACAGCTGGAGCTTGGGCGTTAATTCCAAGCACGCTAATCTTAATTCTATTTCTCTTCTGGTATTTTCTGCTGACTTTTATCTTATTGTATTTGGGACCAGTGAGTCATTATTACAATACCGCATTAGTCAATATAAATCTATCGAGTCAAACTAACTAATAGTGCTTTCCATGCGAATGGCCTAAGCAGACTCTTAGTCATAGTATTGTCACACCACGCACATTATGCATTTTGATCCGAGCGTGAGACGGCAATCATCGGTACGCACAACAGTGAAAAAGTTAGTAGCAGGTCTTGATGTGGCATAGATCTGCCCAAGGACGCAGGACATGGATTTCTCAGTCTACTTGGTTATGGCGCTTGACGTTCTTGCCAGCTGCAGCAGACTGCTAAAGATTTCATTTGTTGGTTTGTCGCCGCGAGTACCTATTGCCATCCTACCCTCCGTAGGTATATAGGAGGCTATGGAGACCTCGGATATTGCAAGTCATATTGCGTCCATAGTTTTATGTAAATCTTAAGAGAATTAAACCTCAAGACCACTTTGAATTCTCCATCGTGGGTGTTAACTCCACATTACTCCGTTTTCAGGGAGTTGCGCTTTGTGTACCACCGACTTCTGCATTCTCGTTGCGCCTAGGGTCCCCTGGAAGTTCCCTATTGGGAATGAAGTAGCAACTGAGAAGACATAAACCTACCGATGGGACCAGCAGGATGAATACGGCTCGAATACCTTTCATTTTGGCATCCAATATATGGTGGTCCCATTTCCCCGTGCCTGGTTGTCCTCGTTCCCAGCTACCACTGTTAACTTGCTCACGAATCGATGAAGGCAGATCAGCAGGCAAGGCTGATTTAATTACTGTATTTTGAACCGCGGTCGACAAGGCCATGCCCACAACGGACCCGAGCATTCGCATCAAGTTTCGCGTGGAGGTGGCTACGGCACGGTCTTCGGGTTTGGACAAGGCTTGTAATGCAACAAGGGCTTTCTATCACTTATTATCGAGCATATTATTTGCAGCATGAATGGCACACTTACCAGGTTGAAGAACGAAACCGATGCCAGCCCCTTCGATTATTAGTACAATCACGTATACCGCTGTGGATGTGGTCCGAGAAAACAGAAGCTTTAGACCAGCACCCAACGTCCACAGCATCATTCCACCGTACAGTACTGGAGCGTATCTTTGTGCAATCTTAAGCAAACTAGCTTCACATGTCCGAAAAGGAGACTTACCGGTCCAGCTTCGTCATCACGGGTCCAGATATTACACCGGCGATGCTCTGCAGAAGCAATAATGGGAGAATGAGGACTGCACTCTGAAGTGGACTGTAGCCTCGCACATCTTGGAAGTAAATGGGGAGAAAAATACATGTCAACTTGCCACACGGAGTTATACAGGGCACTTTGGAAGTATATGACAGCCGTAGGTGCCTGGCCAAAGAGACGGAGCGGAATTATTGGGATCTTCGCAAAGCGCTTCTCGACAATGGCGAACAGAATAAAGAAGAAGCCCCCTACGACAAGCATGGAGACTACTAGTGCGCTACGCCACGGCCAGATACTCCCTCCAGAATTCAATGGGATCTGTGAGTTCAAATGAGATACCAAAGTCCTTTATCAGAAAAAGCGGTTTACGTACCAGTAGGAAAACCACACATGCAATGGCCACGGCTAGTCCAAGCCAATCGATCTTTTGCAGTTTTTCTCGCCAGCTACCCGACACCGGTTTCAGTGGAAGACATAACCACATAGTGGCCATACATCCTGCTGCAAGAATCGGGGGAATCCAAAAGATCCACCGCCAACGCTCGCGATTGCTGGTATTCAACATGGCCGCCGCGATGAAAGGACCAGTACCAGCCCCGAGTCCTATAGCGGCGCTCAACATGCCCTGATATTTGCCACGGTCCTTCAGACTCACCAAATCACTCACGGTGATTTGCACGAGGGAGCTGATGCCGCCTCCGCCGATGCCACTGAGCGCGCGGCATGCATACAGCCAGGTGACGGTCTGCGCAAATCCGCATAGTACGTCGCCCAGCACAAGAAAACCCACGCTCAGTAAAAGCACGGGCTTCCGACCGAAGATATCGGAAAGCCGACCATACAAGGGTTGAAATGCAGTTTGACCCATTAAATAGGCTGTGCCAGTCCAAGTGATGCTGTTCCCGGCGTCAAGCGATCGAGAAATGGCGGGCAGAGCAGTCGCCACAGAATTAATGTCTCAGGGTAGAGATGAAATAGATCGCTGCCAGACACATATAGGCGGATATCAGACGCCGGAACGGCAAGCATGAGGTTTGGTCCTCAATCATGCAAGTTGTCCACTCATGGCTCTGTCCCAATGGTTGTAGCTCATGTGACCGGTCCTCTTGATTTCTGGGGATCTTTTGCTTATGAAATATGTTTCGCTGTGGTGGTCGCGGTAATTGCCTTGGGCAGCCGTCCATTGTATAGATATAAGTCTGCAAAGGAGGAAAGGAGAGCGGCGGGTAAGACACCTCTTGGTGATAAGTAACGTGAAGCTATGGCCGGCTGGCCGAGCACGGTACGATATAAAAATGTACTCGGACTGGATGCGCCTTTCGAAGAATAGGGTTAGTCATATTTATTACCAGTCAAAATGTGAGGCTGCGTGGACGATTTGAGGGTAGGTCTAGGGAGATTGAGAGACAGGGTAACGCACTTGACCGAGGCTAGGATATGCTCCCGAGGACCCTTCTTAGCGCTCAGTGAGTGATCTGTATCTAAGCAGTCTCTGAATATAGTCCACCGTTTGCAGTGTTGATAGCAATATACGTGAAATTGGGTGCTGTCGAGGACCTGGAATACACGATCGGGAAGGAGGTGGGAAGGGATGGCACAGAGATAGCCCCTTGTAGGAGTTTCTTGTAAAATATAGCGCTTTCTTCGCGTAATGTAAAATGCAAGATCTATTCTGGGAAAGTGGGGAATATGCAGTCTGTCCATACTGAGAGTGGAGGTAAATCTGATTTCGAATATTACTGTAACCATTTCTTAATCTTACTGAATTACATAGGGTTTCGTGGGTCGCCAGGAACCCATGTCATGGCGTATAGGACTTCTTCGGTGCTGGAGCCGGTGTATGTATTATTGATAACTTCCTCAGTCGCGAAGCCCTGATCAAAAACCATACGGAAGTAGACCTGTGCAATGGGCCGCCCATGGGCTGGGTACCCATGGGTATTTGGGGCATGCCTCTAATCTGCGCCGGGCCTGGACATACCAATCATGCCCAGGGGGTCTTTACAAAACATAAAATCCTCGAGTGTGAGCTTCCAGCGTGTTGTGGAGGACAAGTTGCAGTTTGGAAACAGCAGTCTTGTCGCTATCATGGCACTAAGACTTCGACAGTTCTGTTCGGATTGTATATTAGCATTATCCCACTTCTCTACCTATCGTTATATTTATCGCAATTCGAGAAAGTCAAATCATTTATTTCCGATCTATCGAATTGTATTTGTTTTAATTTATTTTCCTACGAGTACCCAATCACCGCATAACGCTTGAATTTTAAGCGCTAATTAGACCGAAATAGCCGACGACTACGAGCTACATAAGGTACAATTACTAACTAAAAGCTACCGGATCGCTCGATCGAGTCCATATGTACTCGCATAGCGAACCCAATCTCAATCTCGAAAGAAAGCAGGCAAAAGCCATACCCGCGCGAACCACGGCGTGAATGGCCTCCCCTTCTGCCCTAGTCCAATCCAGTCCAGTCAGTCCAGTCCAATGCTATACAATCCCTGCAAGTGGTGACGTGTAACCCTGCTGATCCCGCCAAGGTGCATGCACCGATGTACCTATACATAGCCCACTGATTAAGTCAGCCAGTCGAGTAGCGGAGCACACTAGTTAGTGCGAAATGGTTGGTGGCTGTAGCTGTAGCTGTATGTACTGTACTAGCTGCACGGGTAAGCAGACCCAACCCGCCTGAGCAATCAGGCCACACGAGACAAGACCTAAACGAGTCTAAGCCCGATTTTGGTGCGATCGGAGGTCGGGAGTCGAAACCGGGGCGGGGACAGCTGCTGCACTGCACTGCGCCCGGATGATCTTTCCCCCTCCCCTCTTTTGTCTCGTCTGCCCGGGTGAGTTTGAGTTTGAGTTTCTCGCACCTTCGATGAGCACTTCTCGAGTGCGAGACCGCGGACCGAGATTACTCGTCGACAAGGCTGTAGGATAACTCGTACTGTACTCTGTAGATAAGTTGAGGTGATTGATTCGAGTGGACTCCAACTCGATGTAACGTCCCCCGGACAATGCGGGAGGTCGGAGCTGTGGGGAAGTGACCCACTTGGTTCGTCATGGCGATCATCGACCCCATTCTTGAGTCGAGGTGGGTTGGGATGGATGGAGGGCACTGGGAGATCGATGGGATTGTAGTGGTTGAATAGCTACAGCTGTCAGGTGGAAGGGGTCTGGGAATGTGTCAAGAAGGAGTCGGTGTAGACATGAAAGTGAAACGAGTGGAATGATACGAGAGTTGGGGGATGTGGAATGATGGTGGTCTGATGGATCAGGTGACCCGGGCCGGGATGACGGGGAGACGGGATGGCCGGGGTGGATGGGAGGAATTGCTGATAATTGAGAGGAATTGAAATCAATTTGATGTTGTTGCATTATCGTAGCAGTGCAGAGTGTTCCGGATGTGTGTGTCCATGTTGTTGGGAATGACAGTGTTGATGTTGATGTTGGCTAATGGCCGATCTCAAATAAAGCCGGGTGGAGCAAATGCGGGGGTGCGTCCAAAGTGGCCGCTGATGTCAATGTCGCGTGATGGAGTGGTAGCATAGGGATAGTAATGGTGATGGTGATGTGAATTGATGAGGATGATAATAGTAATGGGTGTATAAAGGGAGGGACTGAAATAGAGAGATGAAGCAGATAGATGTAGAAGTGAAGTAGGTAGAAGTAGGGAAGGTGCTGGGTACAGTGTGTATCGAGTACCAAGTATACTGCCAGTGGTTGACTGGTCTGGCATGACTCCATGACTTACTTTGGTGTGGTCACCTGCTCTCTCCTTCCCCTCTTCTACTCCTTCTTCCTCTCATCTTCCCTTTTCCTTCTCCTTCTTCTCTTCTCCAGATTCCCCTGATCTTCTATCTTCCATCTTTTCCCACACTCCACACTCAATCCACCACTCCAACCATGTCAGTCCCTTTAACCAAAGTTGATTCCGCCATCGCCGGCCTGTCCTTAGATGACAAACCTCCCGTTCCCTCAGAAAAGGAGGTCAAGAAAGGCCACAAGCGTCTTTCCTCTCAAGGCGCCAATGTCTGGAACATCAAGGACCTAGGTATGTATCTATCTCACTCTGACCACCCCATCACTGGCAACCACTCACCATTCCTTCAGAGGCACAAAAGATTGAACTCGAGCTACCTATCGAAACACAAAAGACCGGATGGTATGTTCACTCTATCCCCCTCCCCCTCTCATCCAATCACCCCACTAACCCCCTCCAGGAGGTTAAATACCTCACCAAACACTGTTGAAGACAAGGACATCCTGGGGATGTACCTCGTGACACCCCCCGTCAAGAAAATCGAACTCCACTTCCCACTGGGCCTAGAAGTCTCCGCCCGGAATCTCAAGGGCGTAACAATAAAGGACGCCATGGATGCCATCTACAAGCAATACAAGAAGAAGGCAAGTCTGAACTCATCTCCGCAGAATTCACCTCCGCTGCCCCATAGTATAGTGCTAACTCACCACCGCAGAAGGACGACGAACTCGAGGAGCCCTTCCTGAAAGGCTTCGAGTGGGACAAAGAGGAGTGCTGGACACGACTCATTGTTCACCAGTCAAGCACTGGCCCACCCAAAGAGTCTGGCAGCAAGAAGTCCAAGAAGAAGAACAAGGATGCATAGATGGGATCTGATCTGATCTGAGCTCACTATCGTCGGGTCCATCTCACCCAGACCACTCCCTCTGTTTCCGCTCTACTTCTGCGTCTGATTCTCCTTCTATGAAACGATCGAAACGACAAGGGTTGACCCCCTCTCCAGTACTGCAAGTATGCTGCTACCTACGCACCCCTGTATCCATTCTCTTCTCTTCTCGCCAGCAGGCAAGCAATACCAACCATCACCGGATTGATGCGTTCGGTCCCTGCGCTGCTGCTCTACTCTACTCTGTGCTCCTTTCATGTTCTCTTCTGCTCTACTGCGCTAGAAAGATCAATGGGCTAGCGAAGAGGTTCTGTTCTGTTTCTGCGTCTCCGTCTGTTCTGTTCTGTATTTCGCTTCTTATCTTTCTGCTGGATCTCCGTTACTTTACCCTGTATCCCGGACTATCTTCTTTTCTCTTCTTCTCTTTTCCCCCTTACATCCGAGTGAACCATTTTCCTTCCCACCCGCCCGCTTAATGGCAGGGTGAGGATGCGGGTGCGGGTGTTCCGTATGGTACCCCGACATTCCGTCTCGTTCTTTAGTTACTCGGTTTTATCAATCAGATCCACCTAATTCGAGGACTTTCCTCTGAACACTATCCTTCCTTACATTATCCTGGTTCAATGTTCATTGTGCATGGCTGCACTGTGGCAGTTCTGTAGTACATACAAGCTCCACTCTGCTCCGGATGGAGGCGGGTCGACACTAACGGCGGATCTCCACAGGCCCACTTAGGGTCCGCTAGCTCTCCCTAGCACTGCGAGTGGCATGCGCATGTGCATGGCAATTCCAATTCCAATTGCAATTGCAATTGCAATTCCAGTAGATATCTAGAAAAATTGTAAATCCACTGACCATGGAGGAATAGTTATTTCGCAATAAATTCATACACAGCATTATGATTATATACAAAATATTCGCTGCTCGTAAGAAAAGAGGTGCGCAAATAATAACTAAACACCCCAAAATGTAAAGGGCGTATCTGTCATCCGTAACAAGCATCGGATCATCCCAAGCATCAAAATAAGAAAAAGTCAGAAAGAAAAAGGAAAAATGGGACACGGGGACCGAGGCAAGGGGGTGGTGGTGGTAGATCTCCATCCCACCACAACCCACCACCTCACCTCCCCCTACCCCCACCTCCACCAAAAAGCACCAAAACAACCTCATCCAACACCTCAAAAGCCAAATGAGCATTAAGATGCCTATTATTAAGCGTCGCAAAAATCCTTCTGGCCGCAGCCTGCGCATTAGCCCTACCAACCACATTCCCCGCCAAATCCGGCACAAGCGTAGCAAGCACAACAGTAGCCTCAGCACGACTTTTCAACTTTTCCGCAGCCATTCGAGGCTGGAATTTGCGTAAGACTCCATCTGGCCAAAGCGCGTCCCTTGCTATCGAGATATATCTGAGCAGATTTTCATTTTGGCCTAGCGAGCGGGCGCCGTCGCGGACTTTGCGCTCTATTGTTCCGCCGAGGAGTTGGTGGAGAACGACGACTACGGCACGCCCGCGCAGCCAGTTGTTGCCGCGATTTAGTTCGAAGGTTTCTAGGAATAGGTCGCAGATTGGTTTTATGAAGGGTTCTAGATCTCTGTCTTCGAAGGCGTTTAGTTCGGCTTCGGCTTCGGCGCTTGTTACGGCGTCTTCGGTTAAAGGGTCGATTGAGCCGCTTGAGCCTAGTGGGCCTGCCGCTGACGCTGACGCTGACGCTGATGCTAGTCCTTGTGTTGCTGTAGCGGCGGAAATGAGATTCTGGCCTGCTGTTGATAATTGGTCCAGGACGCCGAAGTTGCCGAGGAAATCGTCCATTCCGTCTGCGACGGAGCTATATATGCGCGAGACGAGGTCTTTAGTTTCCGCTTCGGCGTGGGCGGTGTTGTCTGTGCGGGGGAGAATGGCGCTTTGTGAGAGGAATGCGCGCAGGTCTCGGCTGCGGCAGACTTCTGGGAGGAGGAGGAGTTGTTGGAGGTAGGATTCTAGGGCTTGGCGGCGTTTGCGGAGGAATTCTTTCTGGAGTTTCATGACCATGCGGCGGCGAGGAAATTCGAGGTGTCGCACGGATGCGTAGCTATTGCGGAGTTTTTGATGGAGTTCGTGGAATTCGCTGTAGCGGCGCGGAACGGCCCATGAGGCGGCGGGCATTTGTTCACCTGCGTTGCGTTGGACTTCGACGACATCTTCAGAGTGTTAGTTGGAATGGATGTATATGCCGCTTAGCCAAGAATGAACTCACACATAACGAACTCCCGGCCATCAGTCGGCTCGTTGCCTACCATGATTGATTTGATTCGCACAGTCGATCGACCATATAAGCTGTTGTCGCCTTCTTGGATGATATACTGCTGCCGTTGCATCTCCTTGCGGTGGACTTCTCGCTGGATGCTCGCCTTGGATTTGCGTAGGATGCGCAATTCGGCAGTGTTGTTTGTTAGCTCGGCCTTGCGGGTCAATGCTTCCACGACCGAGTCTTGAGATGTAAGTTTATCAATGTCGACTGTCAACGCTTCGATTGCCTCGGTCAAGCCCAAATCACCGGGTGCCGCTTCATGGACTTCGTCTGCAGAATCTTTATCCGCGTCGCCAACTGGCTCATCGTACTCGTCCTCGATGAACTTCTCCTGGTCTGGGAAAAGGTCGTCGTCAAAAACACCGAAGCGCCCATTGCCGACAAGACCGAGTGATGCGATGCTCTTCTTGCCTTTCTCGGTCTTCTCAAAGAGAGCATTGTCACTTAGGGGAGCCTCCGATGAATTACGAGGTGAAATTTCAGGACGATCTGGTCCAAATAGAGAGGATGAAGAAGCAACATCGGTGCTTCCTTTCAAATCGTCCACACGGGCATTCTTTGGCTCATTCGTGATGATGTCGTTTAGAGCTGCTTCCATCGTTTCAAGGACATGGCTCTGGGATGCTTCAGCCTCCCCGTTCTGCGAGTCTTTACTCAAGCTATTCGTAGACATGGCCATGTTGTCGGTGTCGTAGTCATCGTCAAACAATGGTACTGATCGGTCGGAATCAATTGACCGTCGCGGTGAATCGTCGTCGTCGAAAAGCTTGCCCATACCACGCACGTCGCTCGACGAGACGGCCGCCCGTCGAAGGTCCCTTGACGGTCGACTGCCTGGCTGCGAGCTTGTTCGTACAATGAGAGGTGGTAAAGGTCGACGCTCGGGAGGTTCGAATGTAACGGTCGGTGTTGGAGGTTTAGCCGCGGCGTTTGAGCCAGAGGCCTCATCCGACGCAAGGAATTTCCAATAAAGATCCGATTCTTTGAATTTCGGGTAGAAATTCACCTCCAGCTCTTCCAGTACGGCGGATTGCGTTGATAACACGACTCTGCGGGCCTTGCGGTACTGCTCCGCGGTCGCACGTTTCCCAGCGCTGAGAAAGGTCTTGACTGCTTTGCGAGACTCGTCGGTCACTTTCAGCTCCGGCTTGTTGAGATAAGTTTCGCTAAGAAGGGCGATGTCATTTCGATCGGAAGTACTCCATGATGTAGATGAGGGCGATGCTTCGTCCCCAAAGTCGTCCTCCAGCGGGTTGCGAAACCCGTCAACAACGATCCAGTATTGGACCAGAGACATCAATTTCTGGCGATCCATGAACTCCATAAAGTAGGAGAGGCCTGATGCCTGATGGAGCACATCCGCAAGGGCTGTCTCCTTTGCTTTGGGGGGATTGGTATGATGCGCATTCACTGCGACCTGTGGGATGGGTGGGACGGAGGGGATGCCCCCAGGGACAGCGAGATTTGCAACCTTCTGATCGAGGACTCGTTTGCCTGTTTCTAGACGTTTGAGATAGACCGGATCTTGTCCCGCGACCATACTTTCCCGCTTCAATTGACTGACAACTGCCGCGCGGAAGCGACGAGCATCTGACAGATTGTTACATCTTCTGATAGCTCGGACGAATCGTTCAAAGACACGCTCCGAATCATTGGCAGCTAGTCGCGGAAATGGCTGACCGCGCTTGGATTTCGGAGCTGGAGATGCGTGCTCATCCAGCGCAGCGCGCAGCTTGCGAACGGTCTTTCGGTCCTGCAAAGCGGTCCGTCCATATGCCTCCACCAGCTGATTCCACGTATCTGGATCAGATAACGCTGTCATGATGGGTATGAGCACCGCGCAGGATATGATTTCATGGATCAATACCGAAACGATCCTACTATTGAGGACGCTTTCTGGAAACAGCTGCGGGGAGAGGGACACGGCTATCTTTCGAAGATACTCCTGCTGCACAAGCTTGGGATCAGAGGCCGAAAGAGCCGCTGCAGGATGGAGACGACCTTCGCGGAACTTGTTGGCGATGGCCCGATCGAGCTCTTCGGATTCCGTCACATTTCGATCCAGATTGCGCCCACGGACTAAGCGCTCCGCCACGTCGAACTCCTTGAGGTGAGTGGTCAATATCGGAACGATACGCGATATGATCAAAGAGATCAAATCTTCTGCCAGCAGTCGATCTCGCAGGTTTTCGAGGGCCACGCGGATCACTCGATCGATTTCATTTGGGAAGGTCGGGTTGGGACTAATATTATGATACCACGAGGATACAAAGTCTCGCGTTATGAATGAAAACAGTTCGTCGAGTCCTTCTGACACGACAAAGGATTCGGGGTATAATGGTTTTCTTTGGTATCGGGCCGTCTTCCGCGCATTGAAGACTTCTTTGCGCCAGTTCTTGGGTGTGATGAACGCCACTGAGACATTTTTCGAACTGCGGGCATTCCCGGTAGTATTTCGGACGGTCAAGACGACGAGAGCGAGGAAACCAGCGGAGGAGAGGGCGGCGCCCAGCGCCACGGCCCATCCTAGATATCGAAGGAATGGCAGCCAACGAACCACCAGGCCCCATGCGATAAACCCACCGACGCCTGCTAGAATCAGATCGCGACGGTAAAGGGCCATTCTCCCCGGACACCTATGAAAGCTCCACGTCTCATGACGGACTCGGCGCAAGTTAGGAGTGGGAAGCTCGACTCGGCATTGGCGCGATCGACAGAGCTTGGGAAGGGAACGGCGGTGAGGAAATGTGGAGCGACTTGGAGAGATGGGGGATTCTGTAAGAAATCCAAAATCACCAGTACCGACAGGAAAAAAAGAAAACAAAGCTTCGGAATAAATACTGCAGCACGTCTAGAGTGCAAGATAAGTTTGGGGTTGGGCGTGAATCGCAGGAGTTGTTTACTTGTGGCAGGCGGTGTATAGCAGCAGATCAACGTCATTTGTTTACTTAAGCCACGATCGTCCTCAACTTGCCAGTTCCCCTCCTCTTCTGCACCTTTCTTTACTCCTCTCTTCGCTCTCCCTCTCGCTGTTGTCACTCGCCATCGCCATCCATCATGGCCAATCTTTCTGATATTGTCGATCTCTCTGCCCCGTCTCTGGCCGGTAAAACCCCCCTCGCTACCCCGGTCCATCTCCGCATTTCACATGTGACTGACCTAAACAGTATCTGCCGCGACAATTGCCTTCAATCCGATCTTCTGGAAGTAAGTCTATGCTCTATGCTTTTAATGATATTCAGTGCAGCTCATAACTAACAAATTTTCTCAGCATTGTTGCTCGCGCTGGTTAGTCGACTCCTCCCTGCCTCGACGACCTCTACTCCACTTCGTACTTTTGCGACTCGGCTAACAACGGCACCCCATATAGAGTACAACAGCCACATCCTCACTCGCATCTTCGGAGGTCCCTACAGAGGATGCTACTTCCTGGCTTTCACCATCTTCACCCTCGGAATTTTCCGTGACCATGTCTACCAAGTCGCCCTGGCAGATCAGCCCTTTTATGCTCCCGTGCACCAGCCCATCATCGGCGGTGTTCTTTTCGCTTTTGGCTCCGTCCTCGTCTTGTCGAGCATGTGGGCCCTTGGTGTGACCGGTACCTACCTCGGTGACTACTTCGGTATCCTCATGGACGCCCCCGTCACCGGTTTCCCGTTCAACGTGACCGGATCGCCCATGTACTGGGGAAGCACTCTGAACTTCCTCGGCGTTGCTCTATACCACGGCAAGGTTGCGGGTATCCTCCTGACCGCTTTTGTCTTTGTGCTGTACTGGTTTGCCCTTAAGTGGGAGGAGTGAGTTTTCCCATGCTTCACCACACACACCCTCGAGAATCCACGCTAATTGTCATGTCCCGCTTAGCCCATTCACTGCCGAGATCTACGCCAAGCGCGAGCGCGAACGCGCGAAGAAGCAGGGCGGCAAGAAGCTGTAAATTGGACATGTATCCCGGGTTGACCAGGACCTTCAACATCCACAATCCGCAGATGGCAATCTTTTTCGGTTAGACCGAGTCCGAATCCCATGACAAGCAAACACCACCCAGACCCGAACTTTCAAGTGAATTTCTCGGGGCGGGACACGGTGTTTCCCAGCACACGGATACGCTGCGCTGCGCATCCGAATCTTCAACGATGCTGGAAAAGTAGAACGATAGACCTTCCTTGTCTTGCTTTCGGTCCCCACGGTGGGCACCGAGTAAAGCTGCAGGATGGACATGCGAGCTCGCATACCCCATCCTTTTGTTATTTCCCTTACGCGACCAAAAAGAATTCTTCCTCCCAGAGCGACAAGACAACACCAGACTCTCCATTGCAACCATGACAGGCCAGGTCAGGCCAAGCCCATCGATAGTGTAACCACTCTTGCTAGTTTTGATATCCACGACACTCCTGTTCAACTGAATTTGATTGTACATATTGCTCTCGAGTATGCAAGGACTGAAGTCCTTATTTAATAATAGACCAAAATCTTGTTCAAAGGATAGTTGGCACTATAGCGTAATAGTGTATTCGAGTCATTCCTCTATGAGAACGTTGAGTACATCCAATACGTCAAGTTGAATACTGCTAGGGCAGGAGCGAGGCTAAGAGGGTAAACAGTTCCCTGTCTACTAACGCCTCGCTAGTGGTGCAGTTGGGTAGCTCCCAACTGCCGGCCTAATCCGGAGGGCGCTCTGGATGGGTACTGGTGAGTGCATGGCTATCCTTGGGCTATGCAAAAGAGGTCACAGGGGAGCGGCAGGATTCGAGCGAGGCTCCCCGACCAAGCGAGCCGGACCCGGGTTGATGTCTTTTTTTCTTTGTTTTTGTGATTTTTGGTTTAACAGATTTCTTCAATCAATGAGTCTCTTCCTTTTCATCTTTCAAAATGAAATAATTCAATACTAAGTTGCTGGTAATTGGAATATCAAGTTGTGATACTGGTGTGAAGTCTGTACTTTTCTGTGATGTTGAACCCGGGCGAGCATAGCCCCACTTATTCCCTGTTACGTCGAGGTCAACCGTTCGAAACCGGGTGCTGTAACTGACAATTACTCCCAAAAACTGATCCAATCCATATGCTTTCTGACCAACCCTCAAACACGATTCCTAAACTGCAAAAAGTGAGCCCTAGCAGTGAATACGGAAGATCGGCGCAGATATTTCCCCGTGGCGCTCTTCACGGCGCTATTTTTAGGCCTGGGGCCAGGAACACGAGGTGCCAAGCATTTGTATAGATCCAGTGCAACACCACCACTTCGGAATATTCCTCGTGCTAGTAGTAGACTTTAGCCAAATTGCGTGCATACGAGACTGAGGCTATTTTTGAAGATCATACCTTGGGGCCAAAAGGGACCAAAAGGGACTTCGTTTCATTCCGACAGTGACGCCAAACCGATCGAATCGAGCGAATTTAGATCCTCATTTCCCGGATACGATGGCAAAAAATAGCATCACTTACTTTCAAGTTCCCTCTTGCGATGATTCTATACGGGATTCACGAGGATCGGCGGTCGTTTGACTGGATTTGAATAGAGTCAAGGTAGAAAATTTGAGAACATGGTCGTAGACCTCATGGTCCTCGACTCTATAAATTGATCCTCAATTCCTCTGGTCCTGGATATCTTCATCAGCAACAGCCACTCAATCAAACCAGTAAAAGCCTCCTCGACTCCGAGTCCAAGTCTCTTTTTTCCAATTCTTTATATACATATTTACAGCCAAAACAACTTGCACTCCACATCAACCATGCCTTCTGCCAAGTTGATCCCCGTCCTCGCCCTCTCCCTCCTCACCGCACCTCTCGCCAGCGCCTACCCCATCACCGGCGATGTCGTGAACTGTCGCTCCGGCCCGGGCACCAGCTACGACGTAGTCAAGTCCTACAAATTAGACGCCGACGTCTCAATTACATGCCAAGCACCCGGCACCGACGTCAAGGGTGACTCGGTCTGGGACAAGACCTCTGACGGCTGCTATGTTGCGGATTACTACGTGAAGACTGGTAGCAGCACCTACGTTACCACCAAGTGTGACGGTGACGACAACGGGGATGGCGGTGATGGCGGTAGCTCTGGCGGAAACCTTCCCGGCCTTACCTCGACTCAGTCTAAGCATGCGAAGGATATTATTGCCGAGGCGAAGAGTGAGGATCTCGGACGTCAGGGATGTACGGCTGGTATTGCCACTGCTATTGTTGAGGTATGATGGACCCTTCTTTAACTTGTCCTTACTAGATATTTCAAGGACCAGTTTCTAACACATTCTAGTCAAACATCCTCATCTACGCTAACAGCGGCGTCCCCGAGTCTCTGAAGTACCCCCACGATGCAGTGGGCTCTGATCACGACAGTGTCGGTATCTTCCAGCAGCGCGCTATGTTCTATAAGGATATTGCGGCTGATATGGATGCGGGTAAGTCTGCTGGGCAATTCTTTAAGAAGATGAAGGGTATTAGTGGGTGGAAGAGTATGGATGTTGGGACTTTGTGTCAGAAGGTGCAGGGTTCTGCTTATCCTGATCGGTATGCTAAGCAGGTTTCGAAGGCTGAGAAGATTTGTAAGGCTGGTGGACTTTGAGTGAGGCTTTGAGTCTCAAGTTTGTTTTTATTCTTTGCTTTTTTTGGGATTTTTGGGATTTTCTGTTCCTCTGGGGGCTGCAGATTGGGAGTACAAGCTATGTAGTAACTAGACAGCGAGCAAATGCAGTTCAAGTTATTGTGAATATCACATCCTTCTACAGTATGTGGAGGCTCAGGAGAGAACTGCGTACACGAAATCACATTCGTCAGATAGTAGACTACGATGAGTGGGATAGACGTGCCCCTAGTAGGGGCTTTAGGTCGTACTAACATTGTGCCCTGAAGTGACTCTCCTATATAACTAGCAGGTCTGATTCAGTCTAATATTTACCAGGGTGTAGTATATTGCCACAGTGCATTCAGCACTGAATTTCAATTGGAAATCTCAAGACTAATTGCTGAGAGGGTCGCTCCCAGTCCTTCCAGTCTTCCTCGCCATTGAGGATTTTGGCAACGACATCTGGCAATTTGAGGTTGAGATCTGGTAGTTGGGGTATATTGAGGTCACGGTGGGGGGCTCGCCTGTTACGCTGACGTAGGTATAGTATTACCTGACCTTGGGAAAAAGTGGTGTCGCTAAGAAATGGTGTCCTTAGGGCCACTCTGTTATGCTCCTGGTATTATATAATATTAGCTCCGCTCGACATAGTTGTCGTTTTGCCGCTCCCGGTTGACGTGAAGTAGAGTAGTGAAAGTTATTTATCAAGTACTTCTAGGCTCATCAATCCAAGGACATTTTAATTAACGCATTAAGATCCCTTTATACTAAGAACTTTCTCTACCAGTTTCCAAAAGTGGAGTCGAAATTGAAGTTGAAAATAAATGGTGAATTGAGTGCGCGGGACTGCTTTGAAAAGTCAGCGTCTCGTTCGTGGGAGGATATGCGCTCTTGCAATATTCCCTATTGCGAAGATGGGGTATAAAGAGGTTATGCAGCAATATCATCGTCTGAAAAAGATTTAGTATCTGCCAGTAAGCAACTTGAAGCAGAACTAAACTCGAAAACTCGCTAGGCAAAAGTTCGCGGTCAAAATATTGGGTATTGCAATGGTTGAAATTAGAAAATCCTATAGAAGACATCGAGAATCCCAATTTAAATGTCGTTCATATGCCTAAAAACTCTCTACCGGAAACACCTGGGCAGAAATGGCCTTGGGTAGCTTGGATCTACTTTCTCTCACTGCTCTGTACATTACTATCTATTAGCAATAATCCCTACAATTAAGAAAGAGAAGTACAGAGCGAGCAGTCCAGTACATAATATAAAAACGATGAGATTGGTACATTCACTATTTCATCTCCAAAAAAGGGTATATCGACACCGCGGGTTTCCTGGGTACCTGAGATGCACCGCCATAGATCGATCAAACACCAACACCACCAACACCACGCTATGAGACACGAAGAGAAGCTAAACAAGGGAGTAGAGACGGGACACGGGACAGGGACAGGTAGAGACAGAGACAGAGAACCAAAGAAAATAAGAACCAGGAACGGGTCCCTAGGGTAGAAACAAGGGGCCGAGATAGGACCAGGCTGACAAAAAAGGCGCGAAGAGAGAGAAAGAGAGAGTTGACAGAGCCTATAGCTACTGCCTTCTCCCCCTCCCCCTCTTCACAGTCGTCCTTGCCTCATCAACAGTCTCAGCCTCATCCTCATCAGTCCCCTTCTTAAGATCCTCATTCTCCGCCAACCCCCATTTCTCCCGATCATACCAGTCCTCGCCATCACTCATTTCCCCCACATGACCCTCAGCCTTACACCACTCCAACACATCAGACTTCATGCGGAAAGCGCGCAACAGCAAGTCGAGCATATGCTCGAAGCCACGCACCGTCTCTTCTTGTTTCTGGATATAAGACCACAGCAGACGGCGCGTTTCTTCGGCTTCGGCGGGGGGCAGGCCGAAATTCGCGTCCGGTCGAACGTCTTCGGGCATTAGGAAGAGTGGGTGTGGATTGGGTAGTCCGCCGAGTGTGTCTGTGGATGACATAGGTGATCCTCCCGGGTTGTCTGCATTGTTGGCTTGGGCGCGTGTCGTCATGCGGCGGGGTGGTTCTGGGGAAGAACCATCATGCATTTCCTCATCTTGCTCCTCGGTCTCATTATCTTGTACGTTGTTTGCATCAGTTCTCTTGCTTCCGTTGGTTTCCACTTCCCGCTTCCCGCTGGCTTCTAGACCCGATTCCTCGGCGCCTGTTGGGTGTTGTAGGAGGTCTGAAACTGTGGCATCGGCCTCTTCGGATTTCAGGACCTTCAGAGGCTCATTCGTATCAGCGTTGAGGGACGTTTCCGCCGATGCTAGAGGGATTTCCGCCATCTCGACATCTTCATTGTTCGCGCTGGCTTCGTGGTTCGTCTCGTTTTGTGCTTGTTGGGCGTTGAGATCACCGTTCGCATACGGCTCGGTTCCATTTTGTCTTTTTTGCTTGGCGGACGCGCTTTGCCTGTCATCACGCGGCTCAAAGATGAAGCGATCTTCCCCGGTTTCAACAATACCGCAGGGAATCCATCCGCCATCACCTAAGAATTGGCGATGCAGATTTCGTGCCCGCCACAGTAGAGCCCTTTCCTGTCGCAGCTTCTCTTCGACGGCTAGGGTCATTTGCTCGAGGGCTTCGGATGTATAGGGCTGAGACATGGAGGGATGAGACGGGAGTTCGGAGGGGTGTTTCAAAGGGCAGAGGAGTGCTGCGCAAGAGAATGGTCAGTCTTTTTTTCTCTCTTTCTTTTTAAGTGAAGTTATCCCTCTGGGTATTTCAAGATATAACGAACTTTCCAACGTGATCCCCGAAAACGGATTCTCTTCAGCGGCCGCAGCGTCGGCCTCAGAATCTTCATCCTCCTCTTCAAGTTCATCGCCTTCGGAGTCATACCGAATTGGATTGCGGTGCAGGATGTAACGTGTATATCCGGCGTGATCGATTTTCTATTCATATCCAGTATTGTCAGCGTCTTTTCTTTTGCAAGACAGCTCGGCAAGACGTTCTTCTCTCCCGCTCGCGCTGTCAAGAAGTCTTCAAAGAAACCACCACGCACCTCTTTATAAAACTCTTCCGCATTGATATATCCCATCGCGCCTTCACTGACGAATTTCGCATTCGCATGCATTTTGTTGCCGCGGTTGGTCGGTTGCGTGATAGGGTCATCTGGACCCGAATCTAGCCGGGGAGAGAAGATCTTAGCGATGCCAATACAATGTGGTTTTGCGGTGAGTATGAGAGAAAGTCTTACCATCGCGCTCGCGGCGCAGGGCTCGCTTCATGCCGATAATTGTATCGGCGATCAAGGCTGCTTGTGTCGCCATGGTTGCGAGATTGTTGCCCACGAGGTGGATCAGATCAGATCAGACACGGTCAGCGCGTGGAGGGGGGAGGGGGGAGGCGGTGAATGCAGGAATTCTTTGGAGATGCCACTGATGTGGTTCCAAAGAGGTGGGTCACTTCCAAGTAAAGAGTGGGGGAATGAGAGGCAGGTAGAGTAGGAAAAGAAGGAAGTTGATGAGAAGGTCGTACTGGGAGAGAAGCGGCAGAACAATCCTCCACGGGGAAGTGACGAAGCTCCGGAGCTGCGATAAGGGGCACGTGACTGGGCCTTCAGTATGGATAGTTCGTTAGTACACTAGCAGTTACATTATTACATTATTGTAGAAAAAGGGATTAATTGCCAATAAGTAAATTTCTCATGATATTCAACAAGAAGGTGGGCACTGGGGAAAAGAAAAATCTATCTAGTCATCTGCATCGACCCAAACCAAAACCCCCTTCTTATCAGCCCGCATCTCACCAGTGGGCAGTACCCGCAGTGTCTTATTGAAGTATGTATCAACAACCACCAATTGTGGTTGAATCCAAAGTCCACGTTTCGCTGCCAGTATATTATACCGCACAGTGTGTCTGCTTAGCGGGACCAGTTGGATGACAGTTGTCTTCGGACCACTAAAGGCGAAGTATTCACTCGCTTCCATCATCAAGTTAAAAGTCAGGAAGTGGGTGGATGGATTCTCGAGTGTATATTCCAGATGAATCAAGCCGGGCAGCTTAGTCGAAGGCGACGATGAGGCCAGGACTCTTGGTTCGCCCATCGGAACGACGAATCGAGGTATCTCAAGCACACTAGTTGTGGTGGTGGTGTTGGCAGACTCCTCTACGCCTTCGGGAGAGATACGGCGCCAGGTGACCTCCAAGGCAAAGCTGAGAGCTGTGGGTCGGCGGTCACCGAGGAGTTGTTTCTGAATATCGAGGAAGAAATTGGACTCGCGGAGCTCTTCAGGTGAAAGATGGGGCGCCTCTGCACTGACGAGAACTTCCGACTCGATGTCGCAAACGGCTCCAATGCTTAGGTCCAGGAGTTTCAGGGCCATGTTTTCAATCACGAGAGGTTCCAGGGCGAAAGATACCACTTTAGAGTTGAGGCACCATTTCTGTATCAAGCCACCTGGCTTTGAGCCAGTCTCGCCAACCAATTCGTCACTGACGGAGAAGAAGTCCGGCCAGGGGAGAGTGTGAATGTGTGGGAGGAAGTCGTAATTAGCTTCGAAGGGTCGGACGAACGATAGCTCCACCGTGATTGTCTTTATGATGGGTGTTTGCACATCAGAAACAAGGTGATAGATGGTGGAAACTTCTAGAGAAAACTTTGCGGCGTCCTGGGTATCGGCCAGCACAACGGAAAGCTCTTTGTCCATTCCACGATCTAGTAAACCAACGGTTCGACTGATAAAGTGAGAAACACCTTCGGTAGGGGTACTTGTGCCTGACTCTATTGGTTCTGAGTTGCTGTCCGCATCGGACCATTCAAGCTTCGCTGTAGATTCGGGGGCACCGAAGAGTCTGATCTCGGTCGATACCTCGGCACCCTCATCTTCCTCATTGTGAATGCCGATATTCAATAGCACCCGCTCGTTGGTATAATATGTGGTTCGGAGGTTCGGGGTCGAGATACGAATCTTGGGTGGCTTAGGCATGATTTTACAGCGTCCTGTGTCTCGGTCTTTGCCTATCCTTCTGCGAGATGCTCCCTTCTTGGTTTCTTGCCACCAATAGGATTGACGCTCAGTATTATCCGTGATCACGTATGCGAGATCAAACTTCTCCTCCTCAATGTGTATCGCTATGGAAGCCACTTGGGCATCTCCAGCCTCGCGTGGGATGCAAGTCAGATTGAAGACCTTGGTCTGTGACGGCCCAATAGTCAGATCTGCTATTCCAATGAGAGTAGCCAGGCCGCCTGTTGGAGATTGAAGAGATGAGCTGCCCGGATTGCTGGGCTCTCGGAGGGATAACGATGAGATACAGCACTGGGTCGCTGTGTCGGAGTCTTCATTATTGTCGGACTGAATCTTCACCGGTCGGAGACATCCTTCAAAGACAAGTTTGACCTCGGAAAGCTTGATTGGTGCTGAGTTTGGCTGGGCGCAGGATGAAATAATTAGCTGGGCTTGTAAAGGCTCGCCAACATTGCCTTCTGATTTCTCGAAGACGAGAGACGAGGTAACTGGATGAAGTCAGCAGGTGCATTTTCCATGTGCAAAATTTGCTTGTACTCACGGCTAGTCATGACATCTTCGGCCCGAAGAACGACGGAGGGCTTGGGTTTCTCCAAGGGAAAGCTCTCAAGGCTCTTATGGATATCATAATGCCATGCAGGTCTCGATGGGAATGCTTGAAATTCTCAAGTTAGTATGTGTGTGTCAAGGTAAATCCCTACTCGTCACTCACCCTTGTTTAGAAGTTCCCAGTCCACCTTCAAGACAGTCTCTTGGTCTTGAGTTTTCAAAGCGCTTTCTCTCAGAGCCCAACCAAAGGCTTCCATCAACTGCCACCAGCCAGATCGACGCCAAGTGAGCGTCGCCCAGTGCGGATATAGAGCCTTGTAGGCCTCGGCCCATGAGCCGATTCGAATGTATTCCTGTGCAATCTCGAGGCTCAAACTCTCCACTTTGCGATTTTGGTGCCGTTTGGCGAATTCCTCAAGCGCCGCTTTCAACGTACTTAGTATTAAACTTGAGTGGTCGAATCCAATCTCTCCAGGTTGAGGGTATTCTTGGTTCGGAGCCGGCGCGAGGTATGTATCGTACATATAAGATTTGCTCCCAATTTGAGAGGCGGGGGATTGACCCGGGGGCAGTCGATCGTCGTCAGGAATCTGACCAGCAAGCGTTCGCCGAATCATGGTATGCTTTGCTGAGCGGTACAGCCAATAGCCCTCGTGGTGTAGTTGTTCCCAGGGGTTGACCCGTTCAGGATTGGGAATGGACTTTTCGGGTACACTGAATATCGATGGCGCCTGCGCCGGGTCGATGACAGATTCTGGGATGTGGAGAGATGAACCCGCTCGGCGGATAAGCTGGGCCATCACCATTGACCATCGTGCTTCCCAAGCCTCCCATCCATAATTCTTGCTACCCTTCCCCCTTCGGTTGACGATGCCTTTGGTCTGTATTCTGTGGTCGGCCCAAAAGCGAGTTGCAGCAGTAGTCTGACCCGTCCAGAGTAGACAGCGGATGATGCGGATGGCAAGCGCATCCCCCAACAGGCGCGCATCGTTGAAACGAGCATCCCAGCCCGCAATGTTCTCAAACACCTCTTGGCCGAATAATGTTTCATATGCACTTTCGTAATTTCGACAGGCTGCATCCATCTCTTGCCGAAACTCGGCCAATATACCAAGCTTGAATTCATAACGAACATTCCATCCTTGTAGCGAGAGAGTCTGAGAAGTGCCGGTGGTTGGAGGTGCAGTCGGGGGTGGAATCGTACTCCTATTACGCTTCCGCCGAGCATGCTTTGACAGGTCCCGGTAGTACTCCACAACGGTTGGTTGTAGCAGAGAGAATAATGAGCTCACAAAGTCCGTCAACTCCGACGTCGTGGCATCCGGTGGGATAACAAAAATGGACTTTTGGTCCAAATTTGTTGCTCGCCGAATCCCGGCCACTCGGTCATCGATTTCGCCGTCATAGCCTCCGTCACCCTCTTCGGATATCAGAACAGCCACAAATCGCGTCTTGTATTCAGAAGCTGCCCATTCCTTCTTCAAGCTATTAATTTCGATCTTCAGTTGGTTATCGCGCAGCGAGTTCATATTCGGGTCCAACGAGAAAGGGAAGAAGTTAAGCACCGCTGCAGGGACAAGATCCTGGTGCTTCGTCACCCACAACGGGGTGAGCAGGCCATCGGGAAAGGTAGGCGATCCGGGGGACAGCGGTGAGATGGGTGAGTGAAGCACATAAGGTGTTCCTGATCCGTGGGCATTGGTCTCCGAGTCGACCGTGGGGCTAGCGGGGGAGGAAGTTTGCGGGGGGTCGGCTTTGCGCGGTGGAAGTTTATAGGACTACAGGAGTGACATGATGTTAGCAGAGTCCGCGTCTCCAAGGGCTCCCCGAGACAAAACCTACCCGACCAGTGCTTTTAATTTTATATCCAATGCGTGGGGCAGATTGATTTCCATTGGGACTCGGACTCTGACCCGCCTTCCAGGGCATCTGTGAGCCATCCTCGGCCAGCAGAACTCGCCGCAGCTCCTCCGCAACAGCCCCGCTCAGCGGAGGGAAGTCGGAGAAGATATGGTGACCCCGCTCGGCGAGCAAGGGGTATTCGAGGAGGGATTCATTGGCCTCCTCTGGTCCTGCTTCGAGTCCTGAAAGCAGGACCAAAGGGAGGTTGTGATTGACGTAGTCGTCTGGGTAGGCGTCCATTGCGGACGATGGGATTGGGTTGGAGAGCTGAATCACCGCATTTCTTTTGGAATGACCAGTGGAGTGTGGTATATGGCTGATGGCTGGTCTGGTCTGGTCTCAGCTGGATTGAGCTGCCTGTGATCTGAAGGAGCTTGAACTTGCAACCAAGGAGTGTAGTAAATAGAGAGGGGAAGGTGGTTGAGTGTACGAGTACGGAGCAATGCGGTGCCAAGCTGCCACGAGCATCGAGGACATTCTGCCGGGCGGTCACGGGCGGGCGCGGTCGCGTGGTGTAAACAGTGGGATTATATGGGAGATATGGAATATAGAATAGATGGAATGGGGGGAGAATAATGAGAATTAGACATACTGGTATAATTAGACTGTCTAGATTATGTATATAGATGAGTTCTGGGATAATGTGGCTTGTAAGTAGATATATTACGAGAATTCAAGTCTGATACACTTGGTGGTGGGAAGTATGGACCACCTTAGCAGTAGAAATATATAGTTCAAGTATGTTCTGGGAGTACTCTGCCCAACTGCCGAGGTGCATACCTAGGTAGGTATTACTTTTTATTTTGACTGTAGACATTCCCGGCAGATCAATTTGAATGCCATGAATATTTAGTAGTATTCAATCTGTATATACTATTCTGTAGTACTCAATATCAAGGCTATCTGCTCATCTCCGAGATCGCCGATCGCCAGCCTCAGGCTTTCCAACTGGAGGTTGTCATTCTGCATTCTGCAGTCCACGTGGATTGCTGACACCACAGTACTATGTACTAGTATAGCATACTAGTATTACTGTACTAACTATAGCAGGTATAGTAAATCCCTTTATTCCGTGACCCAACTAAACACGAGTAGTACCCATACCCATATCTCACGAACGCGATCGCTATCCGGCCTTCCCTTTTCGGAGAATCACAAACGAGTGGGAATTAGGAAATGGGAAATTGGGATCCATTCGAGTGGAGCTGAAGGCGCAAACGCTAAAATGCCCCCCCAGATCGTATGAAAAACTTGGGATGAGATCTCCTGAATAACTCCGAGTCCCAGGGCCCTACTAGCATTACACTCTTTACTGTTCACTCTTTACTCCTTCACTCCTTTACTCCTCCTGTTCCAAATATACCTTATACCCTTACCCTCCAGGGGCCCTCCTTATCACCACCACCACCATCACCCCACCGCAAGGGGCCTCAATCCTCATCTCATCTTACAGATCATGCGCCTGACCTACCCACCATCCTGCATATCTGGTTGATCCCGATTCTGGAAACAAACCCTACGTGCTATCATATTCCGAGTCATATCCCTAGACCCTAAACTATTGAACGCCATGCATCTAAACGAAGGCGCGCCCGCGCCTAAACCCGCCGAATCCGCCCTCCTCAACCGTCGTCGCCGTCGCAAATCTCTCCCTGGCCGCGCAAAGGGCTCCAGTGCCGATCCAACCTCGCCAGAAGTCATCTCGTCGCTCATCTCCTCCCTGTCAACCATCTCCGTACCGCTCAACTCGCATTTCGACAACGTGCCGCGCATTGACTCCAAGGACTCCAAAGATTCCGATCCTGGCTTGCCCGAAGTGCCTCATACTGCGCCGTGTTTCTCCGTTCCTCCTTCCAAACAGTATGGCCATGGTTATGGCCTCGGCATGAACTTGGGCTCCTTTGCTCCGCTGGAGGAATCCCCCCACGACAACAACAACAACAACCCGTTCTTGCACCCGGATGATGCTGCTTCAGCCCCTGTCATCCGTATGGCCAGAGCGCCGCCCTCGCCCAAATCTCCCAAATCCCCGCGCTCGCCGAGATTTAAACCTTTCAAACGGGACGAATCTGCCAATCGTCCGGCCTCACGAGACTCCTACACCTCCGTCCGAACAACAAACGAAGACACTGCCTTTGGCACCATCAGCACCGAACCAGGTCCCCGCCTGTCCACGGCCGTTAGCATTGCATCGAACAGCTCCGCGGGGCGTAAAAGTTTAAAGGGGTCGTTTGGTCAGTTTGGACTGTTGAAGAAGGCCTCGCGGGAGTTCGGGAGTGATAAGGACTCATCGAGCGACCGCTTGCGCAAGACGAATAGTCTGAACGATACCGTGCGCCACAACATTCCTCGGAGCAGAGCTAGTTTGAGATCCATGCATTCCATGGCGGATGTGGCCGAGGAGGCGGGTCTGAACGGACTCAAGGAAGAGCCGAGTGATGGCATGGCAGCAAGCACTCCTCCTCGGGACCTACAGTCGATTCCAAGCACCCCTGATAATCACAACCCCGGTGGTATTGGCAGTGGTCGGATTATCCCCACACGCGATTCTTCTCTGCGACATCGACACAGTCAATCCTCAGGCTCGAAGCAACGGAGGTCCGCCCGCCACAGTCGATATCCATCCAATGCCAGCAAAGAATCATCCAGTGCGGAAAATGGGCTACCGGGTTCAAGCAATGATGCGGAGCAGGTGACCAGGAGGATACAGCAGCTGAAGGATCAGCAACAGAGGATCAAGACGGAGTTGGAGTCCGACGACACTCCTGGCAAATCTGTACGGGCAGCGACGGCAACACCCACACCCACAAAGCCAGTCGAGGTCTCTCGCAGCACTAGCCACCTCGATCAGGGACGTACAGTTCAAAATGGAGTCAAAGCCGACCGACCAGTGAATGACAGCGCGCCATCTCCCTCGATTATGACAGGGAAGAACCGCACAAGTAGAACTGGGGCCCCACTGGCATCGAAACCCACCAATTTCTCTCCACAAATGTCCAAGATTCCATCCGAAAAGTCCGAGCACGAGAATCGATATAGGCGATCAGCGGAGCCTGTTAACCCCACCAAAGGTCATCGCCGCACGCCATCGGGTCCGACGTCCACCCATCGCCCTTCATTCAATAACGAACGGCCTTCCAGTGCCGACTCCATCGATCTGGCCGTTGACGATTATATCTTTTCTCCGAAGTTGACGCAGCGAGTGCCTCACCCGACTACTGGCCGTTCTATCGCATTCTCTGAGGTTGGCAATCCCAAAGGTCACGTTGTGCTATGTTGTCTTGGAATGGGTCTCACCCGGTACCTGATGGCCTTTTACGACGAGTTGGCCCGGACTTTGAACCTGCGTCTAGTTACTCTCGATCGCCCGGGCGTTGGTGAAAGTGAACCACATCGAGTTGATGAGCCAAGTACTCCCCTCAGCTGGCCTGGTGAGTTGTTTTCCCGAGAGGGGAGAAATCCGTGATGTTCAATTGCTAACCTAGTACTAGATGATGTTGCCATTGTGTGTAATTATCTCCGAGTAACCAAGTTCTCCATCCTCGCCCACTCAGCCGGTGCAATCTATGCCCTTGCCACAGCACTTCGAATCCCTCAACATATCCGCGGCCGCATCCACCTTCTAGCGCCATGGATTCCTCCATCCCAATTATCTACCATCGGATCTCAGAAGGAACCCGCACCCACCAATGCAGTTCCTTACTCCCAACGAATCCTCCGAGCCCTCCCAACCTCCCTCCTAAAGGTCGCCAACACAAGCTTCATGAGTGCGACTAGTGCCAGCATCACGACAAGTCTACCCAAATCGCCCAAGCGATCAAAGCGCAAGGCAGCGAAAGAAGCCAAAGAAGCCAAAGAGGCAGCGGCCAATGCAGAAATCCCACCCGTACCCATGATACCCAATATCGAAACCGTCTCTCGGAATAACTCAGAGAATCCCGCACCACTCGGGGGAGCTGGAGCTGGAGCAGGAGCTATGAGGTCATACTCAACACCCACCCACCACGCCTCGTCCAGGAAGAGCGACGCCACGCTTGGCTCGCGTGCCAAATCCCCGGAAGAGGAACTTGAACGCCAACAAGACTACGATACACGTCTTACACACCGGATCTGGGAACTCGCTACTACCAATGCGAACCCGGCTGTTGATTTGTTGATTTGTCTGGAACGTCGTCAGACGATTGGGTTCCGATACGTGGATATTACTCGGTCTGTCGTGATTCAACACGGTAGTAAAGATACCCGCGTACCTGTGGATAATGTCCAATGGCTGGGTAAGACTATGCGTCGGTGTGAGGTGCGCATTCTTGAAGGCGAGGGACATGGTTTGATGGCTTCTGCTTCGGTTATGGGTAGTGTCTTGACTGAGATTGCTAAGGAGTGGGAAGATTGGACGACTATTGTTCAAGGTCGGCGCAGAGCGACTGCCAGTCATGCTGCGCGACCAGGTCTTTCTATCCAGACCTGATTCTTGCAATAATGGCCATTAATTGGCTATGGTTATCCATCGACCGTTGACATTTACCCGGTATTGCGAACAACGCAATACAAAACAAAAGCAACTCTTATAGAGTAGCGCGAGTGATGCACCCACTCGACCCTGCTTGACCCTGGCGGTCCCGTCCCCTAATCATCTTACCTTCCTTTTGACATCCTATCCCATCCCATCCCATCCCATCAGCCATGACTGGATTATGGCTGAAAACTTGACCCTGTTTTTCTTTCCCATTCGCTTTATTTACCCTGACCCTGACCCTGAACTACCCTACCCTACCCACATACAAACAAACAACCAGACACACACCCCTGCATAAACCTAATATTGACCGATGTACGCCCCGTCTATGGATGTTCTGATTCATTCAAGTTATCATGTGGAGAGAGACTCGGACAAGTATACTTGTACTGTTATTTAGCATAATACCCAATGTCAGCATCTAATTTAATGATATTTAATAATTTTTGCGGATTTCATTAGTAGATGGTTGGTCTGTAGTAGGTGGAACTACTAATACTTACTCCCTACTCTTACTAGTAGTAGTTTGGACCTCCACTGGCAGTATATATTTCTGAGACATCGAGGGTCAACTTGCTACTACCACCTCCACCCTTTCAGACTGACAGGTTCCCACTGGCACTCTGAGCAGATTCGAGAAATACGTAGTAAATACTAGCTGATTCATACCACCACTAGGTAGTACTATATAGTAACTTGAAAATCATTCATAACTTTATAATAACTGCCAGTGGGCAACCCAATGCCAAGCCACCAGGGATACCACCAGAGCCGAATGGATAAAACCCCTGGAGGGGGCCGGGACTGCCCCCACTTCTCCTGAGAACTGCCAGTGGCACTAGGACGGATTTAAAACAGAACAGGGTCACGGTCTCACTTATGCACCCTCGTATGAATACCTATTCTTGGATTGGACAGAACTTGAACATTATTCATTATTCTCTCGCTTAATTACTGCTAGTATACGATACTAGCCAAGCCGCATTAAGCTTGAGCGGATTTCTTGGCGTCACGTTTCGCCTTTCGCATTGGCGCGTCGCTACGGACCTCGGGAGTTTCCATTTATCATCCTGCCAGTGCCAGTCTTGGAAGGCTGGACAGTCCAAGCAACACCATCACCACAGCTACAATTACCACCTGCCAGTGCCGCTGGCCACCGTTTTAGCCGGCAAACTTCCAAGAACTCACAGCCAACCCCTCCGCGATGCCATCCCAACGGCGCGTCCGCGTAGCGCTGATCGCCGTCGTGGCGATCGTCTTTTTATTCTTTTACTACTCAGTACAGTCGCCCTTCCCTGCCTAGCCCAGCCCAGCCCAGCCCTGTTCTCTCGTCCAGATACCGGTACTACTGTACCCGGGCGGACAGGAGACTCAATCCCCTCGCCTCGCATCACATCACACCGCATAGTACTAACATTATCTCTCTCACCAGGGCGAAGCAAGCAAGATCCAAAACCAAGATTTCTACAAGACAACCCTAAACGCCATGCGCGCGAAGGAAGATGCCAAGAATGCGAAACCCCAACAACCCATAATTCGGCCCGGTGATGCAGACGCGGATACAGAGCGGCCCGCTGTGCCGGTGGCGAAGGGTGGGAAGGGCACTGGTAGTGAGCAGGTGAAGGCGAAGGTGCAGGAGGACGAGATGGAGGAGATTCCTATTGCTGGACGGACGAAGATGACTGTGCCTAAGATGAAGGATCAGGGTGCTGTGCAGGGTGCTGTGCAGGGATCTGAGAAGAACGATGAAGAGGTTGTGGTTGATCATACGGAGGCGAAGAGTGAACTTAATGATATTTTGAAGAGGTCTCCCAGTATGTTCTTTCCCACTGTCTACTGCTGTGTGAGTGACTGACTAACCCGGCTCTACTTTCTAGTAATCATCTTCTCCAAATCATACTGTCCCTACAGCAAAAAGGCCAAGCACATTCTGCTAGAGCGATACGCTATTTCGCCGAAGCCGTTTGTCGTCGAATTGGATCAGCACCCGATCGGTCAGAAACTGCAGGATCTTTTGGCGCAGAATACTGGGAGAAGGACGGTGCCGAATGTTTTGGTTAATGGGAAGAGTATTGGGGGTGGTGATGATATTGCTGCTTTGGATCATAATGACGAGCTGGTCTCGGCGCTCAGATCGATGGGTGGGAAGTGGGTTACTGATGTGAGGCATTTGCCACCTCCGGCGGCAGCGGAGGATCAGCTGTGAGCAACGAGCAGCGAAGTGAGCATCATCTTCATCTAGCGTTCTGTGTACATACCGTCCAGTATAGTTAATAGCGTATGTATGCAAACAAACCACGTGACAGAATACCCGAACAAATATGCCAAGCCAACTTATGTCATCTCGTGGATGCCCCATGTCACCTGATGATAACGATAAGAACCCTATACGCGCTAACCAGATCTGGCCGTAAGCGACCCGGCGCACAATCCCGTGACTTTGGTGCAAATTCGCAGATGGTCCACTAACTCCTCCAGCCCGATTTTATCCTCCCGACATCGACAATTCAACCCCCTCGGCCAACAACACCCACGCAGTCAAGATGCGGTACATTCACTCCGAGGAACGGCTGCCCATTCCGGACAATGGTGAGCTACGACTTTTTTCCCTTTCGATCGCCGACGAGAGACGGTATATGCGTGGTCGCACTGGATAGAGACAATTGTGAATTTGTGGATTTCGATATTGGACATGGAAGAGGAGGCACCAGGTCGACTACACAAATACCGTTTCTGCAAGAGGGGGAATCAGACGAGAACAGCGAAGAGCAGAGTGCTATTCAACTTCTCGTCTGGAGGCATTGGGGCAATTTTTCTTTTTATCTTACTATGCTCTTCTGAGAGATGATCTAATTTTTGTTTCTCCCCACAGTCAAGGTGAACATTCGTTCGCGTGTTGTCACTGTCGAGGGCCCCCGCGGCAAGCTCGTCAAGGACCTCTCCCACATCGCCGTCACCTTCGGCCGCCCCGAGGAGAAGGTCATCTCCATCGAGCTGCACCACGGTGCCCGCAAGGGTGTCGCTACCCTCCGTACCGTCCGCACCATCATCAACAACCTGATCATCGGTGTCACCCGCGGCTTCCTGTACAAGATGCGTTACGTCTACGCCCATTTCCCCATCAACGTCAACGTCGAGAAGAACCCCGAGACCGACCGCGCTGAGGTTGAGATCCGTAACTTCCTCGGTGAGAAGTACGTCCGCCGCATCACTGCCCAGCCCGGTGTTGAGATCTTCCCCTCTCCCAACGTTAAGGATGAGCTCCAGCTCTCCGGTAACTCCCTGGAGGGTGTCTCCCAGAGTGCTGCCGACATCCAGCAGATCTGCCGTGTTCGCAACAAGGATATCCGTAAGGTGAGTAACAGATTTGTTTCGCTTGGTTTCAGTGGTTGTCATTGCGCTTGCGCTTGCGATTGCAAATACAAATACAAATGCAAATGCAATCGCAATCAGCAATTCGCTGAATGCCCACCTCACCCCAGTCATTTCCCATCCGTGCAATATACTAACTCTCCCTCTCCAGTTCCTTGACGGTCTGTACGTGTCGGAGCGGGGCAACATCATTGAGGAGTAAAGAATGACGCTTGGGTTCGGGTGTCCGGGAGAGTTCCTTTTTAATTTCGCCTACTTGCATATAGGGAAGCAAAGCGGAATGACAAAAAACAAACGACTTGCAAATTCAAAATTTCCCTTTGATACGTGTACGAAGCAATGTAGCGATGCAAGTACGAATCCATTTCTAGTATTGTGCCTGAGTAGTGTGTTCTCTGTAATACTTGTAATTCCTACTAGTATCTGCATGATGCTCTGATGTGGTGAGAGCGGCCAGTGCGACCCGTTCGGTTCTGCCAGCCTTGGTAGCTCAGCTCAGCTCGCCCAACATTTACTACTTCACTTCAACATTTCCCCTCACCTGCAGCTCCAACTTCCAGCACTAGCGTTGTGTTATCTTTGGGTGATGCCCATACTGACACATCCGATTAGAGCGCCCCTCTCTTGACCTTTCCAGAAGTGCGCGTGACGCCATAGCATGTGAAAGCGCCGGGCTTCTCCCGGCCGCTATTTTCGACCTGGAATCGCATTTCTATTTCTCAATCGTGCACTATGGCTTGGTGGCTCGGTCTGTATAGCATGCTGGCCTCAATGTTCAGCATGTTACTGGACGTCGCGCAGTTTTGGCGAGAGGTGAGTGAGATTTGGACCTCGGGCCAGAAGTGGGCTGCCTAGCTGGCTGCCGGGCTGCGACTGCTCAATCTAAGATGAATCGCATGCTGACAATCTATAGAAATTGTTTTCATGGTGGAAGTCCAAGTCGCCGCGCAGTCGATTGTTCCATACTCTTGCGACAGCACAGACGTACGAGGAGTGGGAGGAGGCCGCCTTTGAACTGGACGAGCTTCTAAGTAAGGACCTGTGGTATGTGTTGACAGACGTTATTGTTGGGAATCGCAATAAGAGGCCGAAAGAACCAATGAACCGCTGGCTGATACTCTCACACACAGGCGTCAGAATCCTGTCAGTCGACACTATGACTATCGACTTATCCTCGGCCGCTTAGAGGCCTTGATGGGCGCACGCGAGAGCGAGGATATCTTAACTCTGGTCAACCTGCTTCGCTCTGGACTCGTTCGCAATCTAGGCAACATCACCTCAACAAAGCTTTTCACTCATGCCTATGCCGGTACCAAGCTTCTCATTGATGACTATATCACGCAGGTTGCGCTTTCCATTCAGTATGTGACCTCGCTGCAACCTGCGCCCGTGCACGCGAGCAGCTTCACCTCGCAGGCCAAGCTCGAGCTCCTCCACGATACACGCCAGGCTTTTGGACGAACGACCCTGCTTTTGCAGGGCGGGTCAGCTTTTGGTCTCTGCCATCTTGGAGTTGTGAAAGCGTTGCATCTCCAAGGACTTCTACCTCGGATTATCACTGGCACGGCAACTGGGGCCATGATTGCCGCTCTCGTTGGGATTCATCCGGAAAATGAACTGTTGCCCCTCTTGAACGGAGATACCATTGACCTTTCGGCCTTTGATCACTGGCAAAAGGACCATCCTGCCTCCGAGGGTTGGATACGAGTTTTCTTCCGACGCATGATGCGATTTGTTCGAACTGGTCATCTCTTCGACATGGGACTACTGGAGGAATGCGTTCGCGCTAATGTGGGCGACCTGACCTTCGAAGAAGCCTACACCCGATCAAAGCGCATTCTAAACATCACCGTTGCCACGGCAGGAAAGACAGGCTCGCCCAATCTCCTGAACTACCTCACAGCACCGAACGTGCTGATCTGGTCTGCAGCCGCAGCCTCCAATGCCTCCGCCTCTTCACTCATCACCTCCCCAGTAACCATCTACTGTAAAGACGAAACAGGTTCAATCGTCCCCTGGCCTCACACCGAAGACATCGTCTTCCGGCCCTGGAGACATGTGAACTACAACGACGGCGAATCACCACTCTCACGAATATCAGAACTCTTCAACGTAAACCACTTCATCGTCTCCCAAGCCCGTCCATACCTAATCCCTTTCCTCCGATCCGAACTCAACCTCCTCGACCGCCACCAAACAGGTTGGAACAATCTTTCCCGCTCCCTAATGCGTCTCGTTCTCGCTGAACTCCGCCACCGCGTCCGCCAACTGGACTACATCGGCCTCCTCCCCGGCTCAATCAGCCGCCTCCTAATCGACGAGACAATCCCCGCCCCAAATCTAACTCTGGTGCCTGACCTCGCTGTCCAAGATCTATACAATCTCTTCCAGCGCCCGTCGAAAGAACGCGTTGCGGACTGGACCTTGAAAGGTGAACGGGGCGTTTGGCCTGCTATCAGCGCACTGAAGGTTCGCGAGGCGGTTGAAATCGAACTTGATAGGGGGTATCAGCTTGTTCGGAGGCGTCGACCTAGTGATGCTTCTATCCCTCCGGCACGTCATTCTCCGAATGAGGGATTGCCTCGTCGGAGGAAGAAGGGGATGCGAGTGGCGAGGAGAGTGCGCAGCTGGCTGTTACGGATGGTAATGAATGAATTGAAGTGAAGTGAATCGAATAGATTGAGGATGTCATTCACGTCCCTGTTTCTCTACATTTTAGGGCCCTGGTTCCCCCTTTTTATACATTGTTATGGTGTTGAGTGATGGTATTTATAGATTCTTTGCTTACTTGATTCAATCGAGAATATTTAGGTTGCTTTATCTCGTTGATACGAGCTCTACTAGAGTATGGAACGTGATATTATTTTACAAGTTTCGTCTGCTAGATTGTAAATAAGAAAGGAAAAACCATAGATTGATGTCGTAGAAGGAATATTAAAGCCCTCACTCTACATCCAACGCATCCGACTCAGGAGGACCCTTGTAGTCTGTAAAACAATTAGCAAATGCATATACGAACGGAACAGTAAGGAAAGCACTGAAATACTCACGTTTCCTCGCATAAACGAGATACCAAACGGCAGAAATAGCCATAAACCCAACAAAAACGACAGAGGCATAATTCATCGACACCCTAGTAACCGGCAACGCAGTCGGCATACTAAAAAGCACCAATTCAAACGCAATCCAAGCCAACGCAAGTACATTAACGATTGTCCCCACGATATGTCCACAATTCCATTTAGCATGCTTAACCTCCGCACGACCGTGGAAAAGACTCAACGAGATCGGAATCGCATAAGCCACCGCCAACGCAATAACGCCCACAGAAACAAATGCCGTAAACGCACTCGTGCTACCGAGATTGATTAGACCCAGCAACATCTGGATAATTGTCAATAGGACTAGAGACCAGACTGGAACGTTGAGAGTTGGGTGGACGGTTGCCCAGATTTTCGCTAGGGGTAGTGCGTCGTCACGGGCGACGGCCCAGGTTGAGCGCGACGCTGCGACGGTTATACTTATCGAGCAGAAGAGGGTTATTATTAAGACTAGGAAGACGAGACCCAGTCCGCCGCCCGGTGATCCCATTACTCTGTGCAGAATGTAAGGGAGGGCTTGGCCACCGGGTGCGTTTATGATATCTTCCAGTGGTGGGAGGGTTACGCAGATGGGTATGATGAAGAATAGGCCTGCGATGAAACCGACTGGTACGGCGAGTGCGATTGCTCGGGGTACTTTCACGGCTGGTTGGGGACATTCTTCTGCCATTGATGAGACCATTCCGATTGCGGAGAATGTATATGCTGCTGGTAGGAGGCCGATGAATAGGGTGAACCCTCCCCAGCCTGCGAAGGACTTGTCATAATGGGCCAGTGCGTATGAAGCGGAGTGGCGGCCAGCGCCTGCTTTTATAGATGCTGCGATGAGAATCACGACGATTGTTACGGCTGTCCATGCCGCGCAGGCTGTATCAACTTGTGGCAGGTAGCGATTTGCAAAAGTGCAAATGACTAGCGAACCGAGACAGACGGCGTAGAAGATTAGCAGGAGTTGCCAGCTATTCGCGCTCCAGTCCGGGTGATACATTGATATGGCGGCGGAAAGCATGGAGGCGAAGCCAAAGTTGACGGATAATGTGATGGTCCAGTTTCCAATGACCCATATCCAGGCGTTGATGAATGAGACGGTTGTCTTGTTGGACTTTGCTAGTTGGAAGGACCAGTAGTAGGGTCCGGCGGAGGTGGGATATCGGGATGCGAGCTCGGCGAGTGACATTGCGATGCATTGGTCTAGGAAGCAGACTATTATCCAACCGACGAAGATTGATAGAGGGCCACCGCCGTAGACTGCGCTGAGAAGGGCGCTGCCTTCGCCGTAGGGAATTGCGGCTATGGCGAGGGATTGGAAGAGGAGGGTTGCGACGGAGCGGTTGCGACGGAGTTCTTGTTTGTAACCTAGTCCCTCAAGTTCGCCTTCTTCGTGCAGGCTTTTTAGTGAGCCTGCTTCGTGGTCATGGTCGATGGGGGCATCGCCAGGTGCATCGCCAGGTGCGATGGGCTTATCGGTTTCTGTTTCGAGGGCCATGGTAGGCTTGACTCCAGTGAAGGAGGTAGGTCTTCTAGATTATAGTAGTGAGAGAGGCAAATCTCGCCGTTTCCCATGATATGGAATCCCAGACCTGGAGGTTAGGATTACAGACAGCTTATTTATCAAAAACCAGGGACTTTCAGCCACTGTAGTACGACAGGGTCATGTATACCTTACTGAACCCAGCCCCCCTCCCCCTTGTTCATTTTCTCCAACTATAAACAGACCTATGGTATGCTATCTCGGTATCTATACCTAGGATAAGACCTCTCATCATTGGAGAACCGAAACCGAAAACTTCTACTGGTGGGCACAGGGCAGCTGGAAACTGCGGGGTTGCAAGCTCTCTTTATCTATGGATCGCATTCCCATCTGCAGAGTTGTGGCGCAGATCGCGTATATTCTTTCCTAATCAGGACAGGTCTATTTTCCTGCCTAATCAAGCCAAGGCTTGTTTGGGTTTGGTTTAGATGATATCTTGTGAGGTGTTGGATTGGTTGGTTGTTTTAGTCGCGCGGGATAGGGAAAAGGGGGAATGAGAGCTAGTGGCGGGGGCTTGCTTGTGAATATTTATTAGATTTTGTTCAGCGTTGATTCGAGCTATCGTTTCGGATTTTGCGTGATAAGCTACTTACTCCTTGCAGGCGAGAGGTCATGTGTCGCGCTGGATAACCTTGTAAACGGGATCTGACAAAAGTCCACTGGCAAAAAGTCTCATTTAAAGTTTACCGAATTAAGTATGATTTCAGTCAATACCACTTGAATTGCGGTTTCGAGCTCTTACTACACTGATGCACAAATTCCTTTGGATATTCATGTAAGCACCTGGGCGGGAATAAAGCGAGATGTACATACCACGGCCATTTTCTTACAGCATAGATTGGATATAGCTCGGCTTGGCAGGCGGAACAGTCCTTGCATATTACGCCGCGGTTAATATACGCAAAGAAAGTACAAGGAGATGATTATGGAGGCGCAGAGAGAGTAATTGGTAAAATAGAATAGATTCAGATAAAACATTAAACTATAAGGTACGTTTTTCTCGCGAAAAGATTAGAATATACTCAAGCCAATTCAATACTCACTTAACTATAAGGTACGTTTTTCTCGCGAAAATATTAGAATATACTCAAGCCAATTCAATACTCACTTAAAAAGATCCAAAGACATAATCTCTTCTCTCCTCGCCTGAATCTTATGACCAGCCTCTCCCAGCCCGGGCAAGACGCCTTCAAGCCAAGTCTCCGCCTTACCAAAAACGAGTTCCCAAACACTCTTCTCCTCAGCATGTTGATGCTTCAGATAACCCATCGCCATGAGCGTAGCGAGGACCTCAAGACTGGACTCGGTGGTAGCGGAAGGAGAAGAGGAAGATCCTAACAGGTCAACGAAGCGTTGGCGAACTGTATCCTCCTCACAACCTAGAAGATTGCAGAGTTCTTGACTGAGAAGCCAGTTGCCTTGGAAGTTTTGAAGGGCGATTAGTGAGTGGACTTTTGACTTGTTAGTCTTTTCCGAGCTTGTGGGTGCCGGGTTTGTTGGATTGGATGGTCTTCCGAAGAAAGGTCCTGGATTTGGCGCTGTGTTGGTTTGAGATATTCCAGCTCCGAATGCAGAAGATGATTGCGCGTTTGATGGCGCAGAGCCAAATAAGGACGCTTGACCCTGTGAAGGAGCATTTCCAAACGGTCCTCCAGTTGCAGGAGTACTCTGGCGATAGGGGGCTCTGCCGAATAAAGACGAGGAACTGGTGCTAGGGGCAGCACCAAACAGTCCTCCAGTCGCAGGAGTACTCTGGCTATTGGGGGCTCTGCCGAATAAGGCTGGTTGATTGGGGGTAGGGGCAGCGCCGCCGAATAGTGCCCCAGCCGCAGGTTGGGTTTGTTGATGATTACTCGCACCAAAGCCAGAAGCGAAAGTTCCACGTTCTTGAGGAATCGATGGATGTCCAAAGGCGGGAGAAGAGGATTGAGCCTGTTGGCCTCCGAAAAGTGATCCGGCTGATGGGTGTTGTTGACCACCACCGAATAAAGCTGATGCAGATTGAGTACTTCCGAATCCGGATGGAGGTTGTTGGCCTGGAGAAGAGGCTGCGCCAAATATTTGCGGAGGGCCAAAACTACCCATAGAACTAGGAGTAGACCGAGAGGAGCTACCGAACAGTACCGAGCCCGTCGCTCTCTTGGGTCCCATTGCCGCACATTGTGGCGGACCACCAAACAAACTTCTAGACCCACGCACGATTGGGCGTGTTTGTACGATGTTGAAGGTTGATGCTTTGACTGGGGACTTTTTGTCGCTAATTTTGGAGACCCTTTCTTGCTCCTGGTCCTGACCCTGGTCCTTTTTCTGTTCCTTCTCCTTATCGGTTGATTCTTCCTCCAACGCAACAAATGAGCAGTGTTTCCCCGTGACTTGATACTTGAGTCCTAGAAGCTGGCATTCGAGTTTCGCGAGCTGACTCTTCGTATCCGCATGAAAGCGGGAAAAGGGGTTTCCGTCGACATCTTTGCTATGTTCGAGCCAGCTGTGCTGTTCCTCTAACTCGATCATTGCTTTGCGTGAAGCGAGTTGGTGGATTGTTTCGCCTTGAACGGTGTCTTTGATTGGGATAAAAAGTTGAAGTGGTCTCCCGTTGGATGTGGCGCTGAGTGTGAGTGACTTTGGGACCCTGTCCGATGACTTCGGGTCTAGGAGCAGGTATGCATAGCTCCGGACAAGGGGATGGAAGGGAGGGATCTGGTAGGGAGCTTGGAGGACATCTGGGGGTGATAGCTCTGGCAAGGTATTGCTATTGCTCTCGTTGTCTTTGTCTCGGGGTGTTCCAAGCTCGGCATCGGATTCTTGGAATGATTCGTCGAAGAGGGAGATCGAAATTCGAGCCATTTTCTTCTCGAGGGATTCAACAAGTTCTTCATTTCGATCTCCATCTCCACTTTCGGTGATTGTATCCGTGGACGAATCGACTGCGTCGACGACTTCAAACTCTTGCTCAGGTTGATGGTAGTCAACTTGGAGTTTAAAGTCGCCGATATGAGGAGTAAGCGCACCCTTCAACATGCGAACAACCTTCCTGTCTAGCTCCTCGTACTCTAAAACCGATTGTGAGATGCCATTTCCTGACCTGGCAATACCTTCGATCAGAGAATGCGACACCTGGTTTCCAATACCAAGCGAGAAGAAGCGAGCCGACTGGCTCTGGTCCGACTTGGTTGATGTGACAGTCTCCCGAATAAAATCAAACAAATCCTGCTGATTGTGGATTTGGCCATCAGTCAGGATAAGAACTTCGAGTTCTTTATCATTAAGACGACTTGCAACGGTGGCTTTAACCGCTGACGTCAAATTCGTGCCTCCCATATCTGCGTTTATCGTTTCGACGTACGCCAAAGCCTCGTCTAGACTCGACTTATCATATACTTTACTCTGTGGCCACAAAAATTGATGGTTGTTCCCGAAGGAACAGATATTAAAGCAAATACCCACAGGCAGTGATTTCAAGAAGATTTGCAAGGCTGATCGCAATGTTGGGATCTTTTCCCTCATACTACCACTTCGATCGATGACGAAGATCACCTCCGGTTTGATGGGTGGCAGATTGAACTTTGGCACAAGCGTCACCATCAATGCGCGCTGGTCGGGAATGCTTGAATGTGTTTCGAGTAAAGCTGTGGGGTTATCAAGGCCGTCGGCTTTGACAACGAGCACGAAATCGCGCTCGAGCAGGAGTTCATTTTCTTTGGCTAGGCGGATTGAGGCAGAGGCCTGGGATGGGTCGTATGTTGATCCTGAACTACTGCCACTACGAGTAGTCGATGTACATCCTAGGGAAACCTTCACTGAATGGCTCGGTGACTGAAGTTCTCGAATAATGGAAGTTTTCTCCATCTGAACGTCGACGGTGATATCGATACCAGACGTCTTTACCAGGCCCCACTGGGGCATTTGGATTATCTCCTGTTCTAGGGTCTCCAAATGGCTTGCCAGAGCGAGGAAGGTCTCTCGGGTCAGGATATCTCGGTGCGATGGAATTGGGGAGAGTATATCGGATCCCATTGGACTGGGCGTCCTGCTTCAATTCTCCGATGAATGTGATTTCTGTCGTGATGGTTTCGTTTGCAGGAACATTGCCTAATGTAGTTACGAAGACGTCGTTTTCACTGGAGCTATGCACCATAAGCGCTGCCGTTTGATTATTCGTGACCGCATCGTTGAAGTCTATAATCGCCTGCTCTTTCGTATCCACTTTACTGTGCAGGTATCGCGTTCCAACGCGACACTTGAACCCGACAACGCTGACGCCATCATAGAGGGGAAATTTGTAGGAGACCTTCTCAAGAGGGAGATCTGTGGAATTTGTGAATGTTTGTGTGAGAGTTGTGCGAGATGTGGATGAGAGGATTGTTGCGTGGGCCTTCAGGGAGATTTGTGGTAGATAATGCCAGCCGTTGCCCTGGTGGAAACAACATCCGCTAAAATTTGTCAGGTCCTTAGTCCGGGAGGTCATTGTTGTTACTGATGATGATAATGGATATTGTAAACAAAATTTTGCTTAGAGAAATGGTGGATGTGGGCGCGATAATTTATAGCGCCGATTCGCTAGGCAGCACACAGCGGGGCAAACAGCTCCGAGTACTAGCACTAGCCTAAGAGCCTCAGCCCCATCGGCTAAATATTTAAGCTCTACCTGTGGACTCGGATTCTGTAAGCGACGGTGGCTCACTACTAGTCAGGTAAATATCCGTGTGTATGACAAAGGAAACCAGGTATGAAAGTGTGAGAAATACCACACACCGTGACCTGGGAAAGCCGTCTCTAGTTACGGAAAGCATCCAAATTTAGTCTTTAGATCATCTGAAACTCACAAGATGAGTTGTGGAGGATGCCAGAAGAATCAAAGCGATGCGGCGATTCAATATTCAATATTCAAAATGTTGATGTTTTGGCTCAAGTGCTGTCTTATTGGTCCATTGGTTATTGGTGTAAACGGAATATCAAAGATCCGGCAATTCGCCGGACACAAGTAACTCACCTCTCCTTAGAATCTTCTCCCACAGAGCCCCAAGTCTCATTTTCGTGTCACTATTATGGAACGAAGAATATCACCCTCGGAGCTAACCGACTCCAAGCGTCTGGTCCCGGACAGTATGATCAATGTTTTCTGGGTGGACGAGAAAACGGTAGTCAAGATATGCGACCCAACCCGCCTTGCGGAGGCAGAAGCTTTGAGGTTTATCCGCTCCAAAACCTCACTTCCAGTTCCAGCAACGAAAAACCGATAAAGAAGCAAAAAAGAAGGAATAAAGAATAATAACACTCGAAGAGAGCAGACTTTGAGTATCGTTAATTGGAAGTGAAGCTTGGATAATGGATGCCATTGATGCGGCATAACACCGTCTACTTATAATATCGCCTCTAGGAGGGTAGTGTCTTTTGAGTCAAGGAGGGGCGCTTACTGTTGCTTTTTACTGGCTGAAGATGGCGCAAACTAGTTGAGCAGCGATTCGCTTTTGATCCAAAAAATAAGAGATAGAATCAACAAGCCCAAGCAGCCACATAGTGGTGAAGGAAACGGGGATAATGTTTCACTTGTCGCCTCCAGAAGCCGTTAGAAACTCGGATACGGCCAAAAATAGGTAGTCTTGCTGCTATTAGTAGACCGTAGTAGTCGAAACAGCAGATCGCGCGCGCCTAATGAAGTCAATTTCAGGTTTCAAGTAACTATGGGGAAGGTTCCTGACAAGCCCCATTTCAATGGCTTTCCGGGAAAATGGTATTCTGAAATCTATTTTTATTATTTTTTTTATTAGTAATTTTTTTTCCTAAAAAAAGAAGAAAACTACTGGCGGATAGCTAAATTAGGGATCTCCAGCAGAACTTGAATGAGAGCGGGGAAGCCCCGTGGGGCGTTCAATAACGAGATTGAGAAGGCAAGCAGTAACTAACGTAATTCACCACCGAGTAGGCCACACCACTGAGTGGGCCACCCAACTAATTTTTCGCGTTTAACCGCGTTCATCTATCTTCTATCCACTAATATGCCTCTAATTCGCGTCGGATCAAGCCAAGACTCTATCCAATAAGAAGGCTGTCTCTTACTTACTATTCAGGCTATAAAATCCAAAGAAATTAGCTCTATTCGGCAAGCTGCAGATCAGTTTTAAGTTCTCCGGAATACACTTACACATCGACTACGTAGGACTACAAATCACGCTAACACTTACGCAAATATCCATAATTTATCCTAAATTAAGGAGGACCTACTTATTCAGTAGATAATATCTATAGATACTCATAGTAGAGCACCTAGACACGCAATAGTACGAGAAATAGCTAATCTGTTAATCTAAAAGCGTAGCATAAAGGATTTTAAGCTAACAGGCTTAAATTAGGTTACAAAATTTATTAAATACTATCCAGAGATTAAATCTCGCTTTTTACAACAATATAACTACTAAAGAATACTTTAAGAGAATCTAAAGATTATTAAAGAATGGTTTAACCTCGTTCAAACTATAATTTAGCAATACGGTATCCTTACAGACGATATCTATAACTTTAATAAGACTAGCTTTGTAATAGGCCTTTGTACAACTTATAGAGTAATTACCTAATCAGAATACTATAGACAGAGATCAGTTTTACAGCTAGGAAACTGTAAGTAGGTAACTATAATTAAGTTAATTAGTACTTTAGGATAGGCTCTTCTACTAACACTGATCTTTAAGGGTAAGCAATATAACTAAGTATAGTTTTAAGAGCTCCCTTACGACTAGCGTTTTAAGGTTAGCATAAATAGGTAGATAACCGATAAGATAGGTCTTTATTAGCTTTAAAAGTAGTTTATTCTATTAATAAATAGCCGTATATGTAGACAATATTGATTATTAGTCCTTAATAGATATAGAAGCTATCTTATACTAGAATTTAACTAAACTTATACAGATTATAATATTATACTAATCTGTATACCCGTATATTCTTTGTATCTTTTATAATCTCTTGATATTAGGTATTTTGCTGTTCTAAAGTATATATATAGTAGCTTAGTTAACTAAAAAATACGGCTTAGAGTTAGTTATATTGATAAATTTGATTTTCTTATAGCTTATCTATAAGCTTATATCGATATATTTAAATTAGATACTATTTAAAATAGGTTCTGAGTAGCTAGATTAGTATCTTTTAATCCTAAACTAGTACTATTACAGCTTAATATTTAACTCTGTACGTCTACATCTTCTAGAAGCAGTAGTAGTTAAGTAAGTATATTTTGCCTATATACACCTATAAACGTCGATAAGCTTTATAAGCAAGTATCCTTAATTAAAGCTTTCTTAAGACAACGCTTAAGAAGCCCTCTATTACCTTTACAGGCTGCGCTAAACTAGCTTATTAAAGGCTGTTAAATCACAATACAAAAGGGTATCTTTCTCGAGGCAGAAAATACAAGACTATATGCAGAAAACCTAAAACAGAGAAAAAGCGTGCTTATACGAATAGATAGATATCTTACGATAATGGTCTATCCGTATAAGAAGTACTAGAGCTTGAGGAAGCTTATGATACGTTCTTTTAGGCAATACTAGGTCTAAGAGTGCTACCAGCGCAGGGAACGTAAATACTAAAGACGCAGGCCCTACCTAAATGTGGTAAATGCAGTAAAATAGGGCATAAAAAGAATGCTTGTCTAAATAGAGAATAGGGAATATAAAGGCGTTGTGGTTGATATATAAATATAAATGTGCAGAAATAGCGGTTGGGTGGCCCACTCGGTGGTGTGGCCCACTCGGTGGTGAATTACGTTAATTAATCTTTGCCCGAGTACCTAGGCGCCCACCTTGTGCCTATTAATTGTGATCGAAAATAGAGCACAGAGATACCCAGGTCGCGGAAGAGAAAAGGGAGGAATAACCCTGGCTGCAAGCTCTTTCTCCCCTATTTCTTTTTCTTTTATTCAACCTACCTTGGCCTGTTCGTCCCCATCTCTCAAATTCCGACACGGTTAAAATGCCACGAAAGCCATACCCCACACCGCTGGTCATTCAACCACTGAGCAAAGACCATACTCATACGATCATCTCACTTCATGGACGAGGAAGTAATTCAGAGCGATATGGCCGTGAATTACTTGAATCTGCCAGCCTCCAGTCGCGACTGCCCACCGTCAAATTCGTTTTTCCGACCGCGTCTAAGCTGCGCTCAACAGTACTTAAGAAGATTCCCATAAACCAGTGGTACGATAACTACTCCCTCGAGGATCCTGGCCAAAGAACAGACCTTCAAATCGAGGGGTTATGTGAAACAGCCGAGTTTATTCGCGGCTTAATCGACCAAGAGGCCTGGGCTTTGGGAGAAGGGGGATACAAAAAAGACATTTTGTGGGGGCTCAGCCAGGGTTGCGCTGCGGGTATTTTCACTCTTTTGGGTGGCTGGCCGGATATGAACGAAGAGAAGTCTCTTGGTGCATTTATCGGATTGAGTGGGTGGCTGCCATTCGAACAGCAGTTATACGAAATCCTCGGAAATGATGATAAAACGACACCGGTGGGGGATAGCCATCATGAAGAATACTTAAATGATGGCTACATGGAAGACGAAGATTCAACCAACGACGATTCAAGTAGTGACGAGGAGTCTGATTTTAGTGAAGCTCATGAGTCAGACTTGGGAGAAGATTCATTCCAGCAGCCCATACCGCCCCAGGACGACTTTGATCCTTTTTTAAATGAAGATGAAGATGGAGTACCCTACCCATTCAAGCCATTGAGCATGTCCGCGATATTCTTGATCTACCAGTGGCCTCAACAGACAAACGATTCTCAGAGGGTGGTCAACTCATTTCAAATCCATGTCAGCTACAAACGCCCGTGTTTCTTGGCCATGGGGCAGAAGATCCCAAGGTTTCCGTTCACTTGGGCGAGAAAAATATATCGATTTCTTTCGAATGGCTTTGGGATGAATGTGACCTGGAAGGCGTATGAGGGACTTGGTCATTGGTATCGTGTGAATGATGAAATTGAGGACATTTTGATATTTCTTGAAAGCCATGTCAAGGTACCGTTGGAAGAAGCTCCGCTTGTGCGTGGCATCTGATACAAATTACAAGTCCTATGTTTTAAGATTTATTATTCAGACGAGATTTCGAAGAATATCTAAACTCTGTACGAGACTATGGAGGTCCATAAGGTGCCCATAAACTCTTACCCAAATGATTACTTAGTATATATTCCTTTTTTCTGCAATAGCTAATACATACGACCATAGGGTGTGGAGAACAGGGCTTCCCGTCCGCTCAGCCGTACTTAAGCCACACGCCGGCAGGTTAGTAGTATGGTGGGTGACCACATGCGAATCCCTGCTGTTGTATGTCCGTGTTCACGCATTTGTTTTTGATTCGTCGGGCAAGTGCCCTTGCCGCTTTACTCTTCAGTCCCTTCAGCCCCGCACCTAAACCCCCTAAATGGCCCAACCTGCCGTACTTCCTAAGGCTATTGCAAACCACCCTACCCTTTCTGTTTGCCATCGTTTAGGGGCCTAAAACCTAGCTCTTACTGACGTTATATAAACCAGATATATTATCGCAACTACTACTGTTTAGTCTGGTCTTAGCTACCTTCTTTCGAGGGATACAGTAAAAGTTTTGTCGGCGAAGGAGATGCAGAAGAGAATATAATAAATAAACTAAGAAAAATAGTAATCCTCGAATCAATACCCTCTAAATAAGATCTAGGTCAAAAGCTAACTCTAGTATATACTACGGGCAGGACATACCGTAATGATCTTTTATTGTAGTCCTATTGTATAGATCTACTACTTATTGTGTTTTCCTTTACTAATCATCAGGGCTTAGTAAACGCTCAGCTTTAGTATAAAGAGCTTTCTAAAGTACAGAAATATAAAAAGGACAAAGTAAGGTCTTAACTGTATACCTCACTGGCGGTACGAGAAGAAGTTAGCTGTATAGAATAGTAGAAAGTTATCTAGATTTATATATTTAAATAAGCCTATAATCTCTAGCGCTAGTCCTATATTAATTCTTATTTAGTTATAATTCGAATATTATTTTAAGTATATCTTCCGGTTATATTTACTAGTCTAGTATTTTAAATATATTCTCTAACACTTATTCGGACATAGAGAGAAACAAATACCTTAATATCAACTAAGATAAGAGTCAGTTAAGTCTCTCCTAGCGAGTACCTTAGGCAATAAGTTAGAAAATAGCATTGTATTTTCTATAATTTAAGTCCGGTCCGAGAATTTTAAAAGATATCTCTAAAAGAGATAGTCCTCTTTTAGGTATATACAGCTTATAACTATCTTTATAAACAGAAATATAGCTAATACTACTTAGGTATTTATAAAAGAACAGTATAATATATTTTTCTTTGTCTGAGAAGTAACAAAGACTTCTATACCATTTAAAATTCTATATATATAACCGGAGAAACGTTAGATTATACGCAGTAAATTAGAAGAAAATATTAGAGTTTATCAATTTAAATACAGTAGAGAATTATATTCACTACTAATTATTAAAAAATACAGATTTAAAGACAACTGTACTATCTAGACTAGAATAAAGTATACGTATTTTAACAAGGCTAGTTTATAGAATTAATAGCTCCTATTCTATAGACTATGTAATGGTTACTAAGTTGTCAGGCTAGAGACCTGTGACTAGGCAAGGATATCGGATAGTAGAGATCAGATTGGACAGTTGATACACAGACTGATTCTTAAAGAGATCAAGAATCCTGAATACTTGTGGGATCTTTAAATACATTAGGGTTCGGGTGGGCCTCGATATGCAGGCGACTCGAAAGGGATTCGACCCTGAATCGACCTCGAAAGTCCGGGTATCGTATACTCAGATCCCGTGACAGTTCGTCATGCTATAGTCCCCAATAAACCTTTGCTCGCAAAACAGTCGACACCACAAGCCCAAAAGCTTTCTGCCAGAGTCCTCGGTCCGAGTCAGCGAATTGGATGAGGCGATCGAACACATAGCAGCCGGACTGGGTGTCATCGAGAATATGCGAATACGACTCCCGAATATTATCTCCGTATTGGTGAAAAAAGGTCTCTGCTTCCGCATGCCCACCAAACCGAAATTCCTCGTAACCTCCGGAGGCAACTACTCGGCTGGGATCGAATTGCGTCCCAGCGAAAATTGTACCGATTCGAGAGCGTTCTATGGGAACAACACGGTTTCTTGTGTACTTCGGGCAAATAGAGAGGCAGTATGATGCATGTGTTGCCCATCGTTCTTCGAAGTCTGAGCATTCGGACTTTGCCTGAACCACAACCACAACGCAGATCTCATCGGCATTTTTGCTCTCTATGTTATGGATCTGACCAAGCTGTTCGGTCAAGAAGATCATTTGGGGATTTGCAAAGCGATGTTTGCCGGCAGAGTTGCGATAGCCCTCAGTTAGAAAGGAGCCTTGCATCACCACTAAGGCTGGCCATGTCAACTGAGCGAAGGACTGGCAGTCCTTTCCTTCCTTGAGGGGTAGATTGGACAGCGATTTCTGGCCGACTAGTGGCAGAGCCAGCCCTTGAACATATTTTAGGATGATGCCGAGGTTGGTCGCAACATCTTTCGTTTGGTTGGCATGCACTTCGCGGAATTCATGTTTGAATTGTTCGCTAGTGAGTTCGGGCAATTTTTCCGACAGAATTGTTAATTTGATCATCCTTGATAAAGGATATAAAATTATTAGGGGAAAAACGTAGCGTGTGAAGGGAAGCCAACTTCTACAAATCTTCATAGAAATGGGTAGGTGGCTGGCTTTTCGGGATGTGGTCACTTTCCAAGCGTTCATCCCGATCAAGGTACTGTGAAGGGAAGTCAACTTCTACAAATCTTCATAGAAATGGGTAGGTGGCTGGCTTTTCGGGATGTGGTCACTTTCCAAGCATTCATCCAGATCAAGGTACTGTGAAGTCCCTTCGAGAGCTTTAACAATATTAGTCATACATCCAAATCCTAGAGAAAATCGAAGATAGAAAGAATAGTATAGATATACCCGTACACAGAAGTCGGACCCCCAACGGCTTTCATGTTGAAGAATCTGGCATTTCATAAATCAAAAATTCTGATAGGAAATTATAGAAAGCAGTGCATAATGAAGAGTATATTTGGTTCTATGACTCGCAAAGTCCAGGTTGGATATTTCTAATCGTTCCACCACGTCTTTATTACATATCATGACATCTATATATTTAGGAAACCTCCAACGGAAACTCTCAGTCTACCTAAAAATGCTCTGTGTTGAAAATATTGAAATAAACTCGTTTTCGTCGTATGTCAGTGTCAGTATGTCAGTCCGTGCCCGAAACGGAAAAGAGGGTCCGCGGTATCATATGGCACGTCTGATCTCGACTGCTGTACGGCCTCCATGGACGACGGGATATCGAATGGCAGCCTGCCTTCTGGCTGATAAACATTGAAAATGATGTCCAGAAAAGCATCGGGCGAACTTCCGTAGCTGACTAAGACTGCGGTGGCCTGGTCGACAATTTCCGGTATGATCGCCGGTCGGTCCATGTAGATATCGACGATGGTCACCGGTACCGTCTGGTAAATCTTGGCTTGGCGCGATTTTTCCTCCTGGCTAAATTCTAACGAACCGGCGTGGAACAAGGCCTCGAAAGTACCGGCTCGTTGGTCGTACGGCGCCTTCAGTCGCAGAAGAGCAACATCTGCTTCACCCGGGTCTATAACAACGTTCATGCCGCGCTCTGCAGCAGCTTCCCGAGATATTCCTTCGATATAGAATTTCAAATCCTGAGGAGTTGCCAGAGGAAGGCATTGCTCCCTATTTGTGAGCAGCGTGTAGCAGCGTCTCTGTGTGATGTTTCCAAGTTTACAAAACTCCGAGTTTCCCACATTGTGCTCTGCCTGGTCTTCATCAATGAATGGCTGGTCAAACAACCCCAGGATGAATTTTTCTCGTAACAGGCGCCGAACAGACTGATCTAGACGCAGCTCGGACACGTCACCTTGAGCAACAAGATCTTGAAGTAGCTCAGGACAAGACTCTCCACCTAGCTGATCACAGCCAGCCTCTAGAAGTCGTTGAATTCGTTGCGGCCGAGTGAGGTGCTCTACTCCCCACGCTCGAGCTGGCATGAATTGACCTAGGATCTTCTTATCCGTGACGAGGCCCCAGTCTGTGCAGATAATGCCCTCAAACCCGAGCTCTTCGCGTAGCAATTGAGTCATTATGGCTTTGTTATATGCAAAGCCAACTTCTTCGTACTGAGTACCGACAGGCATGCCGTAATAGGGCATTATCTGTGCTGTCCCGGCTGCAATGGCTGCTTTGAACGGCTCTAGGTGGTACTCGAAGTGATCTCCAGGGTATACCTGCTCCCGCCCATATTCAAAATGTGGGTCTTCGCCATCTTTCTGGGGACCTCCTCCAGGGAAATGTTTGGTCATGGTGGAAACAGAATTCGGTCCCAGTTCTACTCCCTGGAAGCCCCGAATATACGCCGCGACCAACTCGGACGTCAAATGGGCGTCTTCGCCAAACGCAGCATTGATCCGAGCCCAGCGTGGCTCGGTGGCTAGATCTACCTGCGGGTGGAGTGACACGCGTAGACCAACGGCTAGGTACTCTTGGCGAGCGATGTCAGCAAACCTCTCGACCAATGAGGTCTCACGGAGAGCTGCAAACCCCAGGGACTCTGGCCACTGCGAGAAGATGCCGGCGCTGAAACTGGTACCGACATTGTCCGTGAAATGGTTGCGGGGATCACTAGACAGAGTGATGGGTATTCCCAACCGTGTGTTAAGTGCTTCACGCTGGATATTGTTGTACCATTGAGCTGCGCGGCGCGCATCTTCAATGGGACCCAAAACATTGAAGTGCGAGATCATCTTTTTGGTCACCAAGTCCATGTTGCTGAGCATGTCGAATGAAGGCACGGCATCGGCGAGCTCGCCGTCCTTTCCCATAAAGATTATGTCGTGAAACAATAAGGCGGCTTTCTCTTCCACAGTCATGCGCCCGAGAAGGTCATCCACCCGCGCATCAACTGGAAGTTCACGATTCCAGTAAGGAAACTTCGCCCTTTCTTGATCCATTGTTGCTATTTGAAGAAATTTTTCGCAGAAGAGTCCGTTCTTCACGATAGAATTCATGCAGTAACTGATGGCAGTCTCTTCTTAAATTGCCCGTCTCGCCGAGATAATCGGGATGTGGACGCCAATCGAAATTCTGTTGTGGGTCTATCATTGCAATAATCTACACACTTTATTTAATGTCAGGCTGCGATGAAAGGGAAAAAAAGGCAAAAAGAATAAGGATGTCTGAATCCAAAGTCAGAAACAAAACTCACATGTCTAATACGCCCTAGAACAGATGGTTGAAGATATGTATAGCTGTCAGGCGCAGGTTCAATATGTGCCTTTGATTGGCGGACTGGGTATGCCAGCTCTGCTCCATGGATTTCCAAGGGCCCGGTCGATTGGTTGCAAGCTCGTGCAAAAACTCCTCTTTCAAGACCCCTTCCAAGACTATCAGACGATCACTTTCCTTAGTCCCTGCTTCGTACTAGGTCTAGTATTCTTCATGGCGCCGATGACAATCCCAATTAATGTAAATGGATATCTTCCAGGCAATATTTCAACAAGCCAAATAAATAAGTAGAAGTTGTTCTATCTGGCGATATAGAAAATTTGTTGAAGGAAAATAATATGAGTAACAATTAGCTGTGTGGTAACGAAATGGATCAGCTGCTATATCGAACCCAAGAATAGTACATCTATACCTATCTATACCTAGGTGAAGTGAGACATATTGAATCGCAGTGTGCTGAAATACATGCACGCTGAGTTGATATGTAGTCTGGCGCGGCTTTAGCAAGCGTGTACATCCTGACGTTCAAGGTTCTGGTAAAAATATTTCCTGGTCTTGTGGCCGACAGAATTTGTCCAAGCTCCCCCAGGTTCCAAGCGATGCACCTTTGGGGGGAAGGAATCAAGGAGTGGCCGGAAACTCTAAAGAGTGGATTTACTTCCGAAATGTAAGGCCACAGTCGGGATGTGGACATCTTTTTCCCTCCCACATTTTATACAGTAACATCGGCTGCAGGTGATGGGTAATATTTAGGGACATAAGAAAACATAGCATTCTTTCAAGGGTTTCAAATCTGCCCCAGCTGCGAAGCCACAGCACAGATGTCTTCAGAAAAGCCCACGAACGAGCATATATCCAGAATCGACCAGAATCAGGATCAAAGTCCAGATTCGGTACGGTCTCATGGCTTGACTGTGAGCGGCTTTGCAGTCTACTCGGTATCCATTCGGCGCCAACCATGTTCTTCAGGGCTTATGCTGATTTATGGATACATAGGCTGTCGTTCTGATCGCATTTTCAGGTCTCATGAACGTTATTGGTGCTGGAGCGGTGCGAGATTACTTCCCCTGAAATTTGCTCTGATAATACTGATAGTAAGCTACGCAGTTTGGTAAATATATTGCGATTAGTGTTGGTGGTTCATCGGAGAGCACTTGGCTGTCCCAGGTGACAGCAATTGTCGTCACGCTTCTGGGACCGCCGATTGCTCAAGCGGCAGACTACTGGGGGAGAAAATGGTTTGTCGTTTTAACGACTATACTGGGCTTTGTTGGATGCATTGTTGTTTCCAGGTCTACGTCCATGGGAATGGCCATTACTGGAGAAGTCTTGGCCGCTCTAGGTTACAGCTCCCAGGCCTTGCTGAATGCGATTGCGTCAGAGATCGTCCCCCGAAGATGGCGTCCCGCCGCACAGGGGATAATGTCATTGACATCTGGTCTTGGGGCTGCGTTTTCCCTTTTATTCGGATTTGCTATGGTCTCTGACTCATCAGAGGGCTGGCGTGTGTTCTGGTATGTGGATTCCGGACTGATTCTGAGTGGCGCAATCTTGTTCGCATTCTTTTACAATCCCCCTCCGAGAGAATCCCAGCAAGCCTTAACTACGAAGGCAAAACTGAGAAAACTTGACTGGATGGCGTTTGTCTTACTTGCTTCTGGAATTATTCTCTTGAACCTGAGCTTGACATGGTACGACAACCCCTATCCATGGAGTAACGCCAGAGTTGCTTCAACGTTCGCGCTAGGGGCCGCATTTCTTATTGCGCTTGCCGGCCATCAAGTTTTTTTGAAGAAAGATGGACTGTTCAACCACAACATTTTCAAAAACAATCGCAACTGTGCTCTGGCGCTCTTCTGTATCTTCGTGGAGGGCCTTTTCTTCTTTTCTTTCAACAATTTTTTCCCTATCGAAATGGCCATCCTGTATGAGAGTGGAGACTTCAAGTTGGGACTTCGAATGAGCATCACATACTTCGCAGCAATCTTTTCCGCCATTGCAGTATCGATATACTCTTCTTGGACGAAGGACATTCGAAACCCAACCATCCTAGCATATGTTTTGCTCGTTATCTACAGTGGTGAGTTAGGCCTTCCCACTCTTTTTTTCTCGGACTTATTTAACATGATATTTGCTAGTATTAATGGCAACTGCGACACTTGGCAGCTCAAAGGCAGTTTTTGCTTACCCTGCGTTTGCTGGACTGGGGCTGGGGATCGCCGTCGCCAACATCACAACTGCTGCACAGCTTTGTGCGCCACCCTCGCTAATTGCCATAACTAGTGGACTAGTTGCCGGAATCCGTTCATTTGGTGGCTCTATTGCTCTTCCAATCTTTAACAGTATCTTTAACAGCACTATAACCAAACAAATCCCCGCTGAAATTGCGGCTGCGGTTCTCCCTCTAGGGCTTTCACCCGATGACCTCGGGCGATTCATTGTTGCGCTCACATCTCAAGACCAGCAAGCACTAGAAATAATTCCTGGTGTGACAACTAGTATGATTGATGCTGGTCATCAGGGGCTCGCTACAGCGTACCTTCTGGGCTTCCGCTATGTCTGGATCGCCGCAGGGGCATTCGCGTTTGTGGCCGCCGTGGGCTCATGTTTCTTCGTCAACACTCGAGACGATCTTAACATGCAGATTGACGCTCCACTTCAACCTCAGCATGGAGATGATGAGAGCATGAAGGCTATTGAGACGTGATTGGCTGAGCGCGTAAGGTCGAACCTGAACGCAATTGATGGAGAGAGCCGTGTTACTAATCTCTCCTGGAAATCTCAGAATCAACTGACATATCCATGAAGGCATCAGGCCGGGGCCCGCGGGTATACATGAATGCATGGTCTCTGCACCTTTCCTTTCTTCCCATTTTGTACGCTCATTGACCCATGAGTCAATATAGTCTAATATGACATACTCCTGTATTCCTAGTTGAGCTGGTGCGTAGCACTTTTGAAACAAGGAAGATATTCTAGAGGCTATCAGTCTTGAATTACAATCAAAGACACTTGTGTTAGGATACCCGCCCCCTTTTGAGGGCTGGTACGTGGGTGACACTGTTTGGGGCTGAGCTTGTAAATTGCCAACAGCATGATTGATGAGCTACTACTTTGCTAAGAGATTTTCATTGTTATATAAATCTAGCCATGCAAACAAAAGTATTACATAGTGTATCCTGAAGAACATGTATGATAAGTAAGTCGTTTTCGCCGTGGGTAGACATCTAGATATATGCAGAATTAGACGGCGACGGGCTATATATCAAATGGACCTTATGAGAATGCAGAAATAGAAGCAAATACCGTGGTACAATATCCTCAACTCAATCAATTTAGTTATAACGAGGACCACTTTTGACGTTCCGACATCTTTCATTGTCTATGTAATCCAAACATGCCCAGGACTGATATATATGGTACAACACACAACTAGCCTCTACTGTATAGAGCAAAGGAAGGTTGTTGTGGTCTCTCATTCGAAACGACAAAATGCTCTATCAAACAGACCAACAAAATATGCATTTTAGACGATTCGCGAATGGAAGAAGTCAACAAAGTCAAACATCGATCGCTTGTATGCTCTCTCCAAGACTGGACTTGAGCGATCGATATGCTGCATTCCATATTGTTGTTCGTAGCTGCCGAACTCATTGTCGTCCATAATGGACCATGCAAATGCAGCGATAACGTTGACACCATCCAAATGTATTGCTTTGAGCATTTCTTCAAGAAAGCTCTCGATATAGAGGGTCCTCTCTATATCATACCGCTGATTATTGACATCACGTGCGGATTCCATGAAAGGATTGAATCCGAACTCAGTTATTGCAATGGAAGAGGGCCGGAACGTTTTCCAAAGGTATCCCAGGGCTTGGCGAAAATATTGTGGATTGAGATAGGTGTAATCACCGCTTGCATCGCCGCTTAACCAATTATTGGCCTGCAACTCTGTCGTGACAACGCACATAGGAAAGTTTGGATCTGATGAGTTTCTCGCACACTGCTCAATGCCGTTTGGAGGAGGCAAGGCGAATTGGGCCGTGTAAGGGTCGATTGCCAAGAAATCACTTGTGTCCTTGAAAAATGCCAAGTCTTCTTCCGATAATATTGTTAAGTTTGTCCCGGCTGTATTAAAGACAGATTTCGGGTAGGTTTTCCCAAGGAATATCGGGTTGGCTAGGGTGCCAAGGCTGAACTCTTGATAGCGTAACGCAGCTTGAACATGTGTTTCGTTCGTGGGATCTTGTGGAATGGCAATGTTGTTGGCAAATTTCACAGTAACTTTTCCATCTCCTCGAAGACTATCTTTGTACCAGTGATAAACCTTTGCGTGAGCCTTAAGAAGATTGTAGTTTGCGCCATATCCAGCTCTCTCCACCAGCAAATTGGGCTCATTCAAAGTAACCCATATCGGGACCCGATGGGCGAAGCGGGTCATGACCTGTTTTGCATAATACAAAAATGCATCCGGAAAATCCGGATCGTCGAAAGAAAGGTTCAAAGGAGCATCACCATGAAATAATGTGACCATCGGAGTGACACCGTACGAAAGGCACGTTTCGATCACATCTTCGTAGTGTCGGAGTCCAAGCTCGTTGATTGGCGAATTTTCTTCACCAAAGGGCACAATGCGAGTCCACGAGATTGAAAAAGAGAAATGTGGAACTCCAAGAGCAGCCAGCCGAGCAATATCTTGTTTGTACAGAAGATAGTGCATTGCGGAAATGACAGAGTCATTTGCATAACCAGTTTCTGGCTGCGGCAGAGCCCCAATAATGTCAAGGCTTGATGGACCTCGCCCTTCTAGCATCAATCCCCCCCTCAATCTGCCATGCACTGCTAGCAACTCCCCAGATAAAGTTTTTAGGGAGCTTACGTGTCGTGAGAGAAGAGCCAGACGTGGGACGGGCTTGATAGAGTGAAGGGGAAATACGAGATCACTCTTAGGGACAGGAGTTGGTGATACTGTCGTGCTAAAAGGTAGGGTTGAGTTCCGATACTTGATAGGTGCCCATAATTCAGCAAAGGCCGATTGACCATAACGACCAGGCTGCGTAGCGGAAGGGTCTAAGTTGTATGTTGTATAAGTAACATCCCGTGGGAGCAATGACTCCAAAGTGGCAAATTTTGGTGCAAAACTCAACGACAACCCCGTGGGTAGGGCAGTCGCATAGAAATTGCTAGTCTCCTGTGTGTATGAGAAAGGTGCTCCGTATTTGTAGGCTAGATCTTCGTAGCTCTCGATGGTAGAGGTCACGGGGCCTCTATCTAAGACAGCAGTTGAGAGACCAAGCGTCATGCAAAGCGTAAGGACGGAGGTGACTAAGTATATCATGGTTTCGGCGGACTAGGAACAATCTTGAAACCAACAGAATCAATGCTCATAATACTCAGCTATCTCTATAGATACGTGTTGATATTTGTACATATTCTCCTAGCGAAGTTTTCGATGAAATCATGGCCACATACCGAATGGCATGAACCCCGCAGTTTCTACAAAGGACTGAAACCAAAGCGGCAGACTACCCTTTCCCTTTCCAATTTGCAAGACCGAAGGCTGCATATATCGGGACCACATCGTATCTCAGATCGAGAATTCTAGGGGTAATGGTGTAGAAATGTGCCATTTAGCGGTCCAAATCCAAAGGATAGTACTTCGGGGACAACTGATCTAGATGTATTGAAAGCTACGTCGCTGGTTTTCAGAAAAAAGTAACCTTAGCTACCAGCTACGAACCGTTCCTACGATAGAGGTCAAAAACAAAAAGGTCAAGTTTTGCCCACAAGCCGAGCACCCGGCGTGGCTATCCCCACACTCCGACCAGGGGACATGCCCCCCCACACGCCTCAAACTGCTCTCCTTGAGCGAAACTTTACCTGCATTGTGCCTCTTTTAGACCCTTTGTATATTATGCCTATTTAATAAAAATGTCCCGGGTCAGATCCTCTTGTTCAATTCAGTTTTCCACCAAGGATGTTTTTGCTATATGCTTCATAAAGAGTACGAGTATTCAACTTGAACCTCTCAGTAGGTTTCATCTTCGATCCGCTTAGTACACCCTCTAATCCTCATATAGAAATGATTTGGCCATCGCATGCTATCATTACTGCTGTGTGGCTGCTAAGCTACGGCTTTGCTTCCCCAGCCCGCGCCCATGATGTCTGTGAAGTAAAAGAACACAAGGAATCAACAGACGTAATTGCGATCGAGAACCTGCAAGGCCGATATCTCTTTGCTATGAACTCAAACAGACTCGATTTCGTCCCCGGACTTTTCGCTCAAAATGATCCAGACATCACCGTGGACCTTCCTGACAACCAGGGTGGCCTGCCTTTAAAAGGTCTGGCTAATGTCACTGCGGCATATAGCAAGCTGCAACAGATGGTAACAGCTGAGGGTGGCTTTATGGGAACCCATCTGGCCACTACGCCCGTCGTGAAAGTTTCCGAAGGAGTTACGGCCCAAGGAACTTGGATGTCGTTTGGCTTCACCGTCGAAGGACCTGCGTTCAACCACACTGACCCGCCTTACCCGACGCTACCAGTCGTTGGAAGATACGCGCATGATTTTGTCAAAGAGGACGGTGTTTGGAAGTTCAAGCATTTCAAATGGAGCATCTTTGTCAGCTTGCCGCCTTTTGATTTTAATCCCGCTACAGCTGGCCCAGGTTGGGCGAACACGCCTATGGTGCCTGGAAGCAAGTCTACTTCATGGCCCTTGGATCCATTTGATGTGTAACTTAGAAGATGGTAATTTCGAATATAACGCACCATGCCACGAGGAGTGACTAAAATTCAAGTGGGGGTTGATTATAAGGCCGCCTCCTAACCGTCACAATGGTTTATCAAGTAATCCAATCGAATAGCGCGCCGGGACCCTATACACTAGGAAACTTTCACGTATCCTATCAATTGTATCAGTGGGGTATGTATTATAGAAATCCTCACCAAGTAAAATCTGCAAGATCCTAACTCAGCCCGAGCGCAGAAATACTGTACCACTAGACCAAAAGCACTATAGGCTCTTGACTAGCTAATACAGTCATTTGCATGTTCGACAGATAACTCTAAGACGCCGGCTATGGTAGGTTTAATTTTAGGGGTGCTAAGTGTAGCCATAAACGATAACCCCTGTAAGAGGACTCCCGAAAAGCTTACCTTGGAGCTGGTGGTCGAGGAGCGCTATAGAAAGTTTGAGATGGGCGTAGTCGAGGTCGTAACTATAGTTACGCATGGTCGTCTTGGTGTGCTCAGACATTATTAGAACCACTAGCTTAACCATACGAAAATCCTATCCTAAGGGATCTGGTGCAGTCTACCTGACTACACGGTAGTAAGAGACCCTTAACTATGGGCAGAATTTACCCTACAGGGTAGACTGCAACCACTTTTTCTAGGGTAGACTGCAAGGACTTTATATGCTACGATTATCTTCAAACTCTCAGAAGTTCAAAGTTTATATATATTCTATCTCTACTTCAAATTATAGGCTCTACAGTCTTCTACAGTATTCGTAAGATCTAACCCTAAATTACCTAAAACCGTAGATAATTTTTGATAGGGTGCGAGCGGGAGGGCCTACTTTTTGATTTTAGACCTACTTTTCTTGACTTTATTGAAGACAGCAATATATATAAATATATTTTTTATGGCTCTAGGCTTTAAACTTTTTTATCTTTTTTTGGGTTTGCGCCTTTTATCAGCGAGACGCCAACGATTAAGCCAAACGCTGACGATCAAGTTGTTATGCGTAGCTAACTGGTCACGGTAAGTAGTTAGATCGTAGGTTAACAACTTACTAGTTATTCTTTGTATCGTTGGTCGTGCGTGCTATCTATCACTCGTACTCCCTAAGTATCGACTTATAATCGTACTGTTGCTATACTAAGCCTTATACAGACTCAGATTCTGTAGAGTAACTTCAAAGGAGGCACTAGGTAGTACGCTAAGTAGGTCAGTCTAAAGAGCTCCCCTACTTATAGTATAGTTATTATAAGAGATAAAACTAAATAAAGTATAATCTAAAGGTATACTATAGTAACTTAGATTAATTAATTACAAAGAACTAAATATATATATATAAAGGAGTATCCTTATATATCTAATCCTCTGTAGTATAGTATATTAGAAGGTATATCTAGTAGTATACTAGATTATACCCTTCTATCTACCTGCTAGTATACCCTCTAGTATACTCTATAGTTATATACAGTTTTAGAGGTTCCTATATTCTAGATATAATTCTAGAACGTATAAAAGTATAGCTATTTTCTATACTAGGTTAGTTACGTAGGTCTTTTACTAAATACTTATACTTATAGTATAGTATTAGTAACAGTAGAAAGAATACCTATTCTTATATTATACTAGCTATCTTATAGTTTAGTATAGTATTATTTAATACAGCGAATCAGAGGCTAATTCTAGCTGTTATTTATATAATCTGGTTCTATATTCCTTTCCTAGGAATAGTTAGCTCTTAGTAGCCTATCTGTAGGTTATAGCCCCTATAGCCCCTTATATTATATAGTCTATAATATTATCTCTTCCTCTCTTTAGTTCTTATCCTTAAGAATCCCTTATAACCGCTTACCTTCCTTAGGTAAGTATTAGTCTCTCTAATTTTTAATTTTTCTCTATTATAGTTTAATATACCTAAGCCTACTATCTAAAAACCGAAATATAATAAGTACGCTAATAATAATCGTCTTACCCTTAGAATTAAATAGTCTGGTTGCCCTATATTATTTCCTTATAATTATTACCGTATTTATAGTAAGTATTATATTATAAGCCCTTATATAAATAGTAAGAAGTATTCTACCTATATCTAATAAGGCTAAGTATACAAACAGAGCTTCTATACTGATAAGGAGTAGAATAATTTATAGCAGAAGAAATAAAAGGTTTTAGCTAATCTTATAGAGGTCTAAAAATAATTTCTTTAATATTCTTAAAAGATAAACAAGGTAATAGTAAAAATTCTTTACCTCTAAAAATATTAATAATTTCTTAAGGATTATAGTAGTCAGATATTAGATTATAACTCAGTAGTAACAGATTATCTTAATACAGATAATTCTCCTTCTCTTACTAAGCTTTCTAAGTTTAATTATTTAGCTAAGCAGTAAGAGATTTATTAATTAGCTACTATATCAGACTTAAGTCTGATAAGGATAGTAGTATTAATAGACTAGATACCGGATACTTTCTAGGCTATTCTGGATATTTCTTTCCTTAATAGTACCTTTAGTTAGTTCTCTAGTAGAACTGTTAAACTAGCTAACAGTAGTCTGTTAGATTCTTAGTAGGTTCCTATATATTCTCTAAGGTACTGTACCCCTTCTATTTTACTAAGTAGTAGGGTTTTCTGTTAATATATTTTATATCTAGGATATTTTTAACTTTATATTTATTTTTAGTCTTTTTCTCTATTTCTATATTTATAGTAAGTTTAGTATTTTCTAGTATAGTTTTAAGTAATAAGATATAAAATATTATATATACATATTGTATACTATCTAGTAGTTTTAAGCAATAATTAATTAGTCTGGTTTTTTCTTTAATTTTAAATAGTCCTAGTTTTAGGTAGTTAAGCTTTAAGCTTAGTTACTTAGTTTTAATATTCTAATATAGAAGATATACTTTCTCTCTCTTTTTAAAGTCTGGTCTCTTCTAGTAATCCTAATTATAGTAGTATTTTATCTGTAGATTAAAAAACTTAATATCTCTGGCTAACTAGAGGTATAGTTACTTAAGTTCTGAAGCTAGAAGCTATAATACTTCTACCTCTGTTTATCTTCTGATAGTTTCTCTAATAATTAAGGGATTATATCTATAATTTATAAAGAATAGAGTCTCTTTTATTATTATATATATAGTATTATTATATATAAATTATACTAATAGTAATAGTTCTGCCTAGTTATCTTGCTAGTAGTTTATATAGTATCTTAGGTACTGTTCTAAGGTCTAGTTTATTTATTCTATCTAACTATTTATTTATAGATAATAGGTAGTAGAGAGTCTATACTTAATACCTACTAGATCTGTAAATAATTACTATATCTTACTTATAAAGAGCTTATCTCTGTCTAATATTATTTTCTAAGGTATCCTATAGTTAGTAAATATATATTTAAACAATAAGAATACTATAGTATTAGTGTTAATTATTTCTATTATTAGTATTATATAAGAGTACTTTATTAATCAGTCTATAACTACTATAATTATATTATATCTGTCTAACTTAGGTAGTTTAGTAATAAAGTTAATTATAATCTATTTCTATAGTTATAATAGTACTTCTAAGTTTTATAATTTACTATATAGGGTATATTATAATAGTTTATTTTATTAATAGGTATTATATTACTTAATATATTTTCTAACCTTCTAATATATACTTAGGATATAGTAGTTCCTTACTAGGTATTCTACTGTTTTCTTAACTCCTATATACCTATATACTAGGTTATTATAGTTTTATTATATTACTTTATTCTAAAGTTATTATAGAATATAGATTAACCTATAGATATAGATTAATCTATTATTATTCTTAATATAGTCCCTATCTATTTTTTTTCTTATAATTAGGTTATTAATAAGGCTTTTTTTTAGCCTATTAATCTAATTATTATCTTAGATTTTGCTAGTAGCAGCTAGGATCTAATAATTATATACTAGATAGCTGTTTTTGTTTATCTTAAGTATAGCTAGGATAGCTTCCTTAACCCTTATTATATAGTTAGGTTTCCTACTAAGTATATCTGTCTGGCTATTAGCTATACCTAGATAATATTTAATCCTATAATTATATCTTACTAAGGTCTCTGCCTATTATACTTATTATCTTATTAATTCTTTAGTACTAATAAAGAATATAAGGTTCTTATAATCTGATTTTATAAGAACTTAGTAGCTTACTTCTTCTAGATATACCCTCTAGATTTTAAGTACTAATACTATAGCTAGTAATTCCTTATTATAGATATTATAGTTAATTTCTATAGGTATTATTTTTCTAGACTAAAAGGTAACTAGTTAGGGTTTTCTGTTATCCCTAGGTTAGGTAAGTTATACTCTTAATATATAATCTAATATATTAGTTTCTACTGTATATAGTTTTGTTAGATCTACTAGTATAAGTATTATTTATTTAATAAATAACTTCTTAAGGGTATTAAACAAATTCTCTAATTACTTATCCTAGACCTACTTTTAGTCTTTCTTTATTAGTTTATTAAGGTTAACCGTAACTTTTCTAAACCTATTAATTAGACATTAGTAGTAGTTATATAACCCTAAGAACTATTAAACTTTCTTTACGTTTTTAGATATTAGCTAATCTAGAATACTTCTAATTTTGTCTTCTTATATACTAAATCCTTTATTGCTAATTATATATCCTAGAAAATCTGTTTCCTTAACGTAGAATTTATACTTTTTAAGTTTAAGTATAACTTTTGCTTCTCTAAGTTTCTATAGTACTTTCTTATTATATTGTATATAGTCTTCTATAGTTTTAGAAAATACTAGACTATTGTTAAGATATACTATTATAAAGATATTAAGATATTCTTCTAGTATACTAAAAATAAAATATTAAAATACTATAGATACGTTTATAAGTCTGAACGGTATAACTATATACTTATAGTATCCGTACTTTATTCTAAATACTATTTTCTATTTATTACCTAGCTTAATTCTAAGGTAGTTATATACATTAGTAATATTATATTTAGTAAAGTAAATACTTCCCTAAATATAATCCTATATCTCCTAGATAAGAGACAATAGATATTAATCTTTAATATTAATCCTATTTAAGTACTAATAGTCTATATAAAGTTAAAGACTTCTATTCTTCTTATCTATAAAGATAATTAGATACCCAGCTAATAATAATAATTTCTAAATATATCCTTTCTTAAGGTTTTCTTTAATATATTCCTTTAAGGTTTCTAATTCTAACAGTAAGAGTATATAGATTAGTCTAAAGGTTAGTTCTTTACTTTTCTTAATCCTAATCTTATAGTTAAACAGACTATACTCTAGGAGTATACTATCTACTAGTACCTTAAATATATCCTAATACTCTTAGTACTCTATAGATATCTATATTTCTTCTTCTATTATACAGAGAACTTATTATAATTTATAGTATATTATAATATATTCTCTAAGTTTATTGTCCGATATATCCGGTCCTTATTCTATTATTATAAGAATATTAATATCTATAATTCTTCCTGATACCCTACCTTTAGGCTGCTAACTCTATTTAAGTTTACCTTTATACAGATTATAATAGATACCTACTGTCCTAGAGCTAGGTTCTTTAATATTCAGTAGTTCTTTTTCTGTCTATATATCCGCTGTTTTTAGATATTTATAGTAGTTAAAGTAGATTTTATCCCTTTACTAGTTAATTCTTAGACTATACTTTTATAGCTATAGTATACTAATAATTATATTATATTATTCTAACTTAGTAATATTAAAATATATAGATTCTAAGTAGTTACCGATAACTATATTAATCTATTAGATATAGTATATAATTCCTATACTTAGTAGCTTATTATTAAGTTCTACTAACAGTATAACTTTATCTTTCTTAATAGTTAGTACTTTATAGGCTAAGCTAAATTATAGGTTTATAAAGTTCTCTATAGCTCCGGAGTCTATTATAACTTATACTTTAATAAAAGTACCGTTAGATAGTTTTATTAAAGCTTCTACCTTTATATATTTACTCTATACTGATACTATAAGTTATTATCTTTACTCTAAGTATTATAGTCGCTATAATAATTTAGGTTTAATTTCTCTATAGTCTAGTTTACCTTATATATATATTCTATAGTTATAGTTATAGTATCTAATTATAGCTCTAAGGTTATAATTTAGGTATTATATATATCTGATACAGGTATAATCTTCTCTGTAGTACAGGTATATTTCTTCTGTATTAGTAGCGTACAGTACTAACTTATTGTTGTCTAATTTATTAAAGAGGATCCTTTAAGAGTCTCTAGAGGCTATACTACCTATTTTATAAACCTATTATAATTCTTATTCCTCTTAGTAACTCATTTAGTAGCCTTCTAGTAGGGTTTCTAGGATTTTCTATATTTTCTGCTTAGTAAGAGTTATCTATTCTTAGAGAAACTCTTAGACTATCTAAGAAAGTTTATTATATCTTAGGGACTCTTAAGATATTCCTAGGAACTTATAAGGCGTTCTAGAGAGCTAGGATAGAGTTTCTAGGATCTCTAGTGTTCTTAGAAGTTTATTTATAGCTTCTAGGATCTGTATACCCTGCTTCTAGGGTCGGCCTATTAGTTCTTAGGAGTTAATAGGTTCCTAGGTGTATCAGATCTATCCTTAACTTTCTACTGTATCTAGGTTAATCTATAGATACTATTCCTATTTATTATACTCTTTAAGCTTAGAGTTAACTAAGATATTAAGCCTCTATATCTTAGATTCTAGCTCTATCTTTTATTTATTAGTATATAGTAGTAGCTATCCTACTGCCTACTAGTCTTAGAGAATTATACTCTTCCTAACCTACTTTTCTTAGGTTAGTATATTCCTTATTATATTGTTCTTAGGTATCTCTCTTTAGGTAGCCTCTTCTGTTATCCTAGACCCTATAGGTCTGACTCTTTACTCTTATTATTATTAATAAAGTCTATTGAGGATATTAATAATCTTATTAATCCTTTTCTCTTAATTTTTCTAGATCTAACTAACCCCTCTAAGGACTTTCTATATCTTATTAATATTATATTAGGATAATTCTTCCTTAGTTTATCTTTCTACTAGTATCTAGTTAACTATCTAGTTATCTTAGGCTAAGGTTTCTTCTAAGAGATTATTCTTAGGTTAGCTGTTCTCTTATATTATATAAAGCTGTTATACTTATTCTCTGGTAGTGTATAGTTACTATAGCTTTTTATTATCTTATTTACTGCAGTATTCTTATACTATATAGCCTAGTTTACTATAATTAAAACAGAGTTAGTTATCCTTATAATATTTCTGTTCTTCTACTAGTAGTCTTACTATGTTAAGCTCTATAGACTAAGGTCTATAGGGGTCGTTATATAATTCTCTAGATCTTATAGGATTTCCTTATTATTATCTCTGGTAGCAGAATCCTTAGCTCTATAGTCCTTAACCTAGCCCTTATTATACTTTTTGTTATTAAAGCTTTTATTTATAGAGTTAGTTATTAAACTTAACTATAATTTTAATTATTCTGGCTAACTTAGTAGGCTGATTAATTTATATAAGTTTATCCTAAACGTCTTTCTTAAGACTATACTTAAATAACCAGATATAAGTATTATTATTATAGTTAAGGTATAAGATAATTTACTAAAATTCTGCTATATAGATACTAGCTGAACTAGTTTATTTAATTTATTCGAGGTATCTCTTAGTAGTATATTGTATATCGATATCTCTAAAGGTCTGTTTAAGTTTCTTTTTAAAGATTATATATAAAGTAAAGATAGCTATAGTAGTATCTCTCTAGTCTTCTGTTGCTTTCTTATTAAATTTACAGATATAGGGTTTAAACTAGTTAAAGACTTATCTACATAAGTAAGTAGATATATAGATAACCTTATTAGCTTCTCTGTTATAGTTAATAATACAGAGTTATATATCTATCTATATAAGGAAACTACAAAGTTTAGTTTGTGCTTCTTTAAAGAACTTTAGTTTAGGAGATTTAACCCCTATATTATACCTTTCTGCTACCTATAGTTGTTCCTAGAGTTAACTAATTATCTCTATTAGCTAAGTATTAGTAGGTAGTACAGAGATATAATTACCTTCTGTCTGTAAAGTACTAGAACTATTATTTAGTACTATAATAATTATACTTTATAGTTTTGTAGTTAACAGGGTAATTAATATATTATATATAGCTAACTAGTTACAGTAAGTAGTTAGATTATAGATTAATAACTTACTAGTTGTTCTTTATATCGTTAGTTATACGTACTATCTATTACTTATACTCCCTAAGTATTAACTTATAATTATACTGTTACTATACTAAGCCTTATATAGACTTAGATTCTGTAGAGTAACTTTGAAGAAGGTACTAGGTAGTATACTAAGTATATTAGTCTAAAGAGCTTCCCTACTTATAGTATAGTTATTATAAGAGATAAAACTAAATAAAGTATAATCTAAAGATATACTGTAGTAACTTAGATTAATTAATTATAAAGAACTAAATATATATATATAAAGGAGTATCCTTATATATCTAATCCTCTGTAGTATAGTATATTAGAAGGTATATCTGGTAGTATACTAGATTATACCCTTCTATCTACCTGCTAGTATACCCTCTAGTATACCCTATAGTTACGTATAGTTTTATAGGTTCCTATATTCTAGGTATAATTCTAGAATATATAAAAGTATAGCCGTTTCCTATACTAGATTAGTTATATAGGTCTTTTACTGAATACTTATACTTATAGTATAGTGTTAGTAACGGTAGAAAGAATACCTATTCTTACGTTGTACTAGCCGTCTTATAGTTTAGTACAGTATTGTTTGATACAGTAAATCAGAGGCTGATTCCGGCCGTTGTTTACGTAATCTGGTTCTGCATTCCTTTCCTAGGAACGGTTAGCTCTTAGTGGCCCATCTGTAGGTTGCGGCCCCTGCGGCCCCTTATGTCGCATAGTCCGTAACACTTAGGAGCCCTTGCTTTAGCTATATCTGCCTGTTCTAAGGTAATCTGTTTAGGGCTTCTTAGGAGAGTAGTAGTTATAGAGTAACTATCCGAAATATGTATAGTTTCCTATTCTGTATACTAATATATATCAGATTTTTCTTTGTTATAATCTTCTGAAGTAAGACTTAAGAAAGGATCTTCTTTTAAGGTCTTAGCTGCAGAGGAAATTAATCAAAAAGAGGGCGAGGTTTCTGTAGAGTATCTACAGACAGAATTAGATATATTAGATAAGACGTACTTATTAATTATACTTAGTAAGCTAAAAAGAAACGTCTCTTCTCTCTATTATATAACTTCCCCTTTAGTTAATTAGTTTATATTGCTAATTAAATTTTCAGAGTCTGGCCGGACTATAGGATAAGTCTCGATAAGGGGCAGATTATTAGCACTAGTATAAACAGGTAATAAAATTTTAGAGAGGTATATATAACCTAGCTTACAGATACGATCTGCTATCGTTAAAAATAGTACTATATAACAAACTATTAGTAAGTAGGAAAGCTCTGGTTATAGTTAATACTTACGATTAAGGGATAAGTCTCTTTTAAGATTCCCTTAGTAAGTTAAATTAAACGTCAGCAATAAGTCGCAAGAGGCGCCTTCGAGAGCATCGTCATTAGCCAAAGGCGGAACGTCTTCCTCTAAACTCTTTCTTAATTCTATATCAAACTCATTTAGTAAAGCGACAGTCTGCTGATACTTCTGATAATTTGCGTGAGAAGCAGGTAAGCGACTTGTCATTGAGCGATACGTTGTTTGGCAGGAAATAGGTCTCTCAGACGACGAAAATACGCCACAATGTCTGATCTTGAAGGATTTTACGGTTTTGGGTTAAGATACCTGCTCTTCTGCCACTGCGGTTGCCCGCAGCTCCTCTTCTCCGTCTACTGTTGTATAAATCGGCCGCTATACAGTAAAAGTGGCTTTCCGAGACCCGCGATAATCAATATCGAGAGCAATCACAACGTTAACACTTCTATCTGTGTTCAAGATATACTCATCGGCCAAGTGGGAGACACGTTGGCTCTTTTGTGAGTAACAGACCTCGATGATAACACCTGGATAACGGGCCCGTCTATGTTTGAAAGATGCGTCAGGTTCTCGTTGGGAATATGTCGGCTTTCCATCCCTTATGATGTCGGGTATGAGAATTCGCGAAGTGGTAAGATGCGTAACCTCGTTTACAAATTCAGAGGAAGCTCCGTCGCGCTGCTGGAAGTGTTGTAATTGCCGTAAGATCTCCTCGACTATCTTTGCGCAGAAAACGTCATGGACGGGGCTTGGCATTCGGATAGATAAACTGGAAGAATATGGATCATAGTCGTATCTGCAATGGCTGAGCAACTACCTCTTTAATATAGCGGAACTTGTTTGTACTTACCTCACTTTGTCTCTAACGTATTCTCGTAGAGACTGGTCACTATCAAGCACACGTAAAGTCTCTGTATAATCTGCCAATTTGAGGCGATGTTGCCACCAGTATTGTGGCCTGTAACCTGCACGATGGAGTTTAAAATAGTTCAGCGCGCGTTGAGTACTTCGCGACGACGTTTTCTCTTCCGTGGGCGGAGGAGTAAGAGGAGCTTCAAGAAAACTCCCGGGCGGAGTAATCTCAGTTGCCATGAAGGTATGCGAGCAATCCGAATGGCCTTTGCGGGATTGTTATTCTCAAGACAGGGGGGGCTCGAAGGTCGGAGATAAGTCATGTGTCGATAAGCTAGCACGACGTTATGTGATGTCTCAAAGGCACCAATTCTCAGTCATCTGCACGTGCACGGCACCACTACTACCAGTAGACGATAGCCAATAATTGAAAACGCTACCTTTCCACCGTCTTTGGGAGAAGTATTTCTAATATAGCTTTGTTGGCATTGGAAAGATCCGGTCTTTTCCAAAGAACTATGTAACCCAGAATATTCTCTCATGCTTAGCTGAAAAGACCGGTGCGCAGGTATCGCTGGATGGAGGCTGATCATCATCTTACGTATTGCGCTCCCACATTTGTTCTATGACATGAGGACTAACGCCTCTCTTCTCCTTTTTTAGTTGTCCCACTGCCATCGTCATATATATGGCAGACCTTCCTGCCATTCTCGCCAGAGATTTCTGCGCTGATAACCCATTCCTTGTCATCTCGGTTGAAATGGGATTGGTGCACAGCATTGTCATCTCGATACCTGATTTCGAGTTAGCGCAATGTAACAAGCAAAGCTATTTCCAAGCTAAGCGTACTTGATTTCCACTCTCTTTAACTTGCCAAGTCTCTGTAATGTCAGCTGTATAGCAGGACGGGAAATCCAATAATTTCACCCAGTCAGGACTGCATCTAAGTCAAACGTAGCAGGGATACGTATGAATGGAACTTGCGATACGCGAAGAGGACTGGCTTGAAGCACGAAAGGCAACAGACATAGAAGAGCTGATCGGAATGACCAAGGGTATTAGACTCAGCCAAAAAATGATAATGAACGGTCTTCCAGTTTCTCGCATGGCAAGGTACAATTCTTACCCGGTGTCACCCCGTTCTCACTCTGTCTATTGCGCACTCACCCTAATCACCCGGGTCGCGCGACGCTAAAGCGGCGCGCACCCCTTCCTGCTCGGGCGGCACCCACCCGACTATTAACTGTTTTTTTAGCCCAGTATTCTGCACAGTCAATAGTCAATGCGTCCTTAGCACCTAAGCGGCACTCTAGGGTGAGTGCAGGTGATATAGGTGAGAAGTCTCGATACTGGGGTGAGAGAGATGAGAACGGGGTGATAATCCTCACCTTTGGGGTGATAGGGGCCAACTCACTCTGATCCTATGCCCGTCCCAATAAAAAAGACATAAATATAAGCCCCGAGGCCCTTCTCTTGCTTTGCTACGATTCTTATGGAATTTCTTTGTCATCCAAAAATATGTTCTCCGAAAAGAATCTCCAGAAAGCATAAAGTTAGAAGTGTACTAGTATCGCACGTGCCTCACGGACTAGATTTATGTTGCGATGAGACTGACATATATCTCGACCCCTTTCCGGTGATATTAAGCAGGACATTCTTAACTTGAACGTAAGAGGTAGTAATTATCCTTCTCTAAAGCTTGCTGCTAATAGGGGAAAAAAAAGCATATTATAACTACCGTATTAGTGAAATATAAGCTCCCTGTAAAGCCTAGAGAGCGGTTCCTACAGCGGAAAGGACATAGACAGTCGAGACCCGCTATTGTATCGTCGACCTCGCTCCGCACACCACTGCCCCACATTCAATTTATTCGACTCAATCCGATGCCGCAATAGCTCCACATGAGCCCGACGTTGAGCATGTGTTGGGATAGTGATAAACCTCTGCGAGTCAATATTCCTAATAAAAGTCGCCCGATCGCCGCACTGACCCAGAAGCCTCTAATCCATGATTTCTCAAATCCGCGGCGCGTCTCCCGCTAATTTGCCCTAGCTCGCCCCATGCCATACCACACGCTAAGGCCCAGCAAGCAGATTCCAACTCTCGCCGCCCCGAAGCGGTCCAACTTGCCGATGATGGCATGCGCGACGCACCCTCCTTACACGGTCAAGTATCCTTCCATTCTCATGAGAATCGACATACCCAGACCAGCATACTAGAACAAAATTTACGTTATCTCACCTCGATCCCTCTTTTCGTTCCTCGACTTGCTGTGTTCCTATCTACCAGCATGTGAGATTGTGGATACGTGTATAAACTAAGACAACGCGTTGTTTCTAAACAGATAGAGGGCATCCAATCAAATAATATTATAATAATTAGTGGTATACAGCGACAACTAGTAGGCGCCCTTAATACAAAATTCCCCTACAGCCCCACAGGCTCACAGCTTTGGTTCAAAGGCTCAGAGCGTGAACTACCCATAGATGCTACTAGAGCCGGCTCGAAACATTATGGTGAGATCGAGATCCAATTACTCGAACCTTGCACAAATTTATTTTATGCTTGAGCAGGGGGCGTCTTTCTCATGGCAGGCATACATCACCATTAAGTTTCTTGCTGCTTGGGCAGCACCAAATTACTAGTATGTGCCTAGTGGTAAAGAAGCCACTATATTATGTACTATTTTGGGGGCTAGGTTTCCTGTCGATCTTTCACTCTATCAGCGTCTACCTAGGTAGCTCTGCGCATTGACAGTGCCATTGTATTCCGCCAACCCGTAGATAGATCGGCCCCCAGGAACCGGGCCCGACCCGTACCAACCAAAGTGGAGAATTGTAGAAGCCTATCCAGCTGCATAGTTCATTTCGCAGTTGCTGCGTGAGTGCCGTGTCTGTTTTGGAAATGGGACTGGAGAAGGCTGGCAATTAAAAGAGAGAAAATCGGCCAAACCTACAGGGATTCCCAAAATGTACTTTTGTCACGCGCCAATCAAATTGATGTATAATCGAAAAAGGTGCGAAGAGGTGGGGCGCCAAACATTGCATTATGGGAATGTGTGCGCGCACATGATCGCGGAATTTTTCGCGAAAGCTATTTGGTATTTTGTCCGTCCTTCGTTGGAATTTTTCAAGGCACTATTTTCACTGTGATCCTGGATCAAGGCTCTATTTCAACATGGTATGAATATTAGACTGCGTTTAGCAGGCTTCTCCTGGTTCTCATTTAGCTGACAAATGTAGTCCCTCCGTGAGTTGGCGCCAGGCACAGGGCGAAATGGTACACTGAAGCCAGAACTTGAGTACAATTACCAATCTGAATTCTTTCAAGTTGCCTGTTTTGACCAAGATTTAGCATCATCGCTGTCCATGGTCTGAACCCCTTGGGATCTGCTAATCATGCCTTCAACACTTGGCGGAAACCGGAAGATGATAGCGGTAACCTCTGGTTGAAACACGATTTTCCGAAAGCTCAACCTAACGCGAGGATTTTCATCTATGAATACAACTCAAGCCCCGTATTTGGATCAGGAAAAGATAGCTTCGTACGCGAGGCAAATCAATTCTTAGATGAGATTCATGGAGCAAGATGGGAACTTGTGAGTTGCACGTTGACAATTTTCCTGAATGAATTCACTGAACGCAAATCTAGGGTGAAAATATCCCCTTAATTCTTATCGGACACAGTCTGGGTGGGATTCTCATCAAGCAGGTAAGATCAATGACATTCTCATAGACGGTGTGTTCTAACCAAGATGGTAGGCACTGGTGAACGCGTGGGCAAATCCAAAGTACAGGGGCATCAAAGAGTCAACGTAAGTTTAATTCTATACTCACCTTTCACCGTAAGTTATCGGCTAAAACATGCCTGATAAGTCACTCGCTTGTATTCTTTGGAACCCCTCATAGTGGGCCGTCAAAGAATCTCCAAGTCGGCCTCGGCATGGCATGTGCTAAGATTGCTCGATCTATGCCATTCGGGGCTCATTCATCCTTGATAGAGGTTCTAGAACAAGGAACACTCTTTTCCGACATTTTGAGTGAGAGCTTTCGCCATCAGCTCGAAACGTACAACATACTATCCTGCTACGAGGGGATAGGCGATGTATCTTCCCAGCATCCCGATTTTCTCTGACAGATGCTAATTTTCGTATTCTAGATTGTTCCGTTCAATTCAGCTGTTTTGAACCTTCCAGGAAATCGTGAAACACAATTGCGCATAGATGCCGACCATAGCAATATGTGTCGTTTCAACCTGGATGTCCAATCTGATGTGGATAATTATAGAAAAGTGCAGCGAAATTTGCAAATGATGTGTGCAGATGCGCTTGTGGGTTCACTGAAGCTTAAGCAAGGTCAGGGTAAGCATAGATCCGCTGGACAACGAGGATTGGTGGGCTCTGATTTACATTCAACCACCCTCCCAGATGAGAATTTCTGTTACCTTCAGAACCATAACTAGTTTTCTAATCTATTTGGGCTTTTCTGATCATCTTTCTAGTTTAGCTGGCCAGAATATCGCGAATGGTGGTATCGACATATCAAGTATTCTTCTAAAACCAATACGCTATACACAAGACAGGTCCAGGCCGCCTGTAAAGATGTGTATGACAATCAACTTTATGAAACCAAGAGCTCAAGGACTAACATATCCATTGCCCGCAGACCTTGCTCAGCTTCCCGATCTGGCTTGGACAATCTATCGCTCATGTCAGCGCACCTCTTTACCAGCCTTTCTTCAAGTCGCGCAAGATGTTCTTCAGTTGCATGTCGAACTTCGTATATTCAATGAAAAACTAAAGAGCGACACTTACTCGACAGATCGTCGACCAGAAATTGAAGATCAACTTTTTGATTGCTGCCAGAGTTTAGAAGGGTTGGTGAAAATGATTGAAGCCCATGGAAGGGTTTCTCAGATAGGAAGGAAACATTTCATGCAACAAATGCCGGAATCTTCCGGGTTTGAGAGTTGCAAGTCACAAATTAGATGCACCACCTCAAAAATCAATGGGTTAAATCAGCACTTGGCAAGGTATGTGACTGACTAGCAAGGAATTGTCAACTATGAACGGCTTACTGACTCTGATCAAAGTCGGTCCATGAACGACTTGGTTGAGAGATTGGACGGACTTATAGAGTTCATCAATGAGGGAGAAGGGGATGATCGGTCTTTGTCAAGTCGACTTTCTAGGTCCACGATCTCAAGCTTGAAGAAAGATGGTGCCGAATGGCACGATTTGG